TGAAAATTATTAGTAGCATTTTCTTATCCATGACAAACAAGGTTTATTGATTATATCGCAACCCCATCGACCCCCCACCTGCCCCAAAGCCCAAATTAAAAACAAACAAACAGTCCACACAGCATGCAGTACAAAGCATGCCTAGCTACAATAATTGTGAATGCTATAAAAATATTTAATATGAAAATAATGAGGTGATGGGACAAAATTCTGAGCACTTGCAAATGTGCAAGAGTTGGTAGAATCTGCGAATTTGTGATTGCAAATTAAGGGCTCTTGGGGTATTTAATTAGGTACACTGACCATTCAAGCGCACGTTGTAAATACTGTTGTACTGACTCTTGCACATCTGTTGCAGCACAATATGTCAACCTCTAGCTCATCCATCAGGGACCACCACAGGACCCCCGCTGACCAGATGTTATTTACACAGTGAACCGTTGTCAGCACAGCACTGAATCTGACAAGGCAGAAGTATGTTAGTATGTGCTGGGCTAGTATGAGTGTACCAGGTGCAGGAGCATTGAGAATTAGCAGTAACAATGTGCTTGATACACGCATACCAGTGCAGCACACACTAACATGCTACTGCCATGTAAGTATTAAGGCTATGCAGAAATCTACTATAATAATATCTGGTCAGCTGTGGTCTTATGTCATCCCTTTACATCTAAACGTTTCTGCCTATCTTGTTGGTACACCTTGTAGGAATACAGTTATATTATACACTGATCAGGCATAACATTATGACCACCTCGTTTCTACGCTCATTGTCCATTTTATCAGCTCCACTTACTGTATAGGTGCACTTTGTAGTTCTACAGTTACAGACTGTAGTCCATCTGTTAGCCCGCTTTACCCTGTTGTTCAGTGGTCAGGACCCCCATGGACCCTCACAGTGCAGGTACTATTTGGGTGGTGGATCATTCTCAGCACTGCAGTAACACTGACGTGGTGGTGTGTTAGTGTGTGTTGCGCTGGTCTGAGTGGATCAGACACAGCAGTGCTGCTGGAGTTTTTTCCAGTGAGTTCCACTCACTGTCCACTCTATTAGACACTCCTACCTTGTCAGTCCACCTTGTAGATGTAAAGTCAGAGACGATAGCTCATCTGCTGCTGCACAATTTGTGTTGGTCATCCTCTAGTCCTTCATCAGTGGTCACAGGACGCCGCCCACAGGACGCTGTTGGCTGGATATTTTTGGTTGATGGACTATTCTCAGTCCAGCAGTGACACTGAGGTGTTTAAAAACTCCAGCAGCACTGCTGTGTCTGATCCACTCAGACCAGCACGACACACACTAACACACCACCACCACATCAGTGTCACTGTAGTGCTGAGAATGATCCATTTATTCTTTATCCGTTCATCAGTGGCCAGTTTTTGACCACAGTTAGTCGGATATTTTTGGTTGGTGGACTTTTCTCCATCCAGCAGTGACTAAGATGTTTTAAGGTGGTGGTCCAGCAACGCTGCTATAGCTAACACTCATACCAACCAAATAATATCTGGTCAGCAGTGGTCCTATGATGGTCCTTTCCACGTAAACCATCTTAATCTAAGGAACTGACTTAAAATGTATAAATTGCCCATGACAGAAACATATAGATCTTCAAGCAAATATACACTCAGGCCCAAGAACAGCACTGGTGTCAAAATACGGGCATCACCATTCAACACTGGTTGTATGAGGTATTTTCAGTTTACTGAGCACATTGAGCATCCAAAACCAATCTAGATATACTGGCCACAGAGTAAACCACTATAGTTTCACTTCAGTACAGTACTGTATTCCATTCATAACCATCTCAAGCGCCAGAGCGAAACAGCTCCACCAAGTGGACCTTCTTCGTTATAATCTCGGGAGGTCACCATGTGGTTTAAGCTTATTTTTGACTCTCAGGCACTGAGTTTCCCCAGAATGTTGTCAGAATATGTGGATTATAGTCATTATCATCATCATTTCCAAACACTGGTCTCATAGATCACATTAGTTGTGTAACTGGGATCGATCTTACCCTGTGCAATCAATCATTAAATAAGGGCACCTCATTTGGGTATTACCGTCAATGAATATAAAAGACAATACAAATTGCTTGTTTACTCTCTACACTCTGTTATGTCTCTGCTATGCTCTAATGACAACACAAGTATGTTATTGCTTAAGTAGTGATACAAAGGGTCCAATAAAGACTTGGAGGCCCCAATAAAAGAGTTGGAGGCCCCATCACTACAGGCCACAACCACACTACACATCCCAATACCCTACACACTGCTGGTAGATTTTCCACTGGTTCACACAATGGAAGTCTTTAGAAACAAAACCGTAGAACGAAGCCTGAAGGCTGTGGATCGGCGATTCTAACTAATGGTCATGAGCTACTTAGTTGAATTTGGTCTGAAGACTTGCCCAAAGCCAAAAATGTGTAGACTGGGATCTTGATGGTGAACCACCAGTGCAGACAGTAAGATAATGACCAAAACCGAGCGCCTGCATTGTTGGCTTAGCGAGCAAAAACAAACACAAACTCACAATAAGACACAGAGAATCGAAATTACTTTCACAAAGGGACTTTATCTTAATTTCAAGTATTCAAAATTGTTAAACAAGAACATGTGTTTTAAATGGTGGGCAATACAACCTTCACCCCTTTTTAAAATTCTGCTTAAACTGTACCCCCCATACCCTTATAAACAACTATTCACACTTTTTTGATTCAGGATTTTTACAGGGAGAACTGGCGCAATGGAAATCGTTTACAGGGAAGACAACATCTAATCCAGTTCACAACTGCTGGTGATATGAACGCTTAACATTCATCTCTAAGCCTCACTTGATATGTTTAGCATTGATTCCCAGCTTTTTCTGTTGCTGTCGGAAAACAGAATACACAAAGAGACAGAACAACTCAAATAACATTGAGAAGAAAAGAAAGAAAAAAAACGAGAAAAGCCACATAAAGTGTTTGGCCAGTACCATATGGCTGATATTTCGGGGCCCATCATAAGGCATCTTGTGCTATCTGAGAAGTGACAACAGCTTTTCTTCCAATTCAACAATTATTGATCATTCCAACATATCCTGTCTAGTCTGCAGCCAGTTACTGATGGCAGATGTTACATGCTGTGATTAAAAAAGTGACAAATTTGTGGTTGATATTAAAAACGCTGCCATGATCTACGCTAAAAAAATCCACTGATTTCCTCATTAAAAAGATCCTTGGCTTGAGACCGAATTGGCGCAACGTTTTACAACCCATGTCTTTTGACTGGTGTTTAAAATAAGTCAGGGACTGCTATAAAAAAAAAAACAACAAATCCTATTATGAGTCAACAACGACTCAAACCATGCTTCCCATTTGCAGAGATGAGTTACAGAACAAAAACATGATCACCCAAGCTGATGATAAATCATTCTCTGCTATTAAAAGGCTGTTTTCATTTCTATGTGGTAACGATGAACATACATGAAAATCATCTTGCTCTATTTTCTGTACACTTAAATGTAGTGATCTACAACAGATGCATGGGGCATCTATTGGCAAAAACTATTACTATTATGTAAAAAGACCAAACGTGAAATGTCCAACTGATCATTAAAAAGAGTAAAAAGTATATTAAAATATAATTAAAACATTAAAAAAATAAATAAACCCTCCATTTTCAGAACACATGGAATGTTATCCCATTATGAGAAAGCCTACAGAGAAAGGTGCCACAAAAGGTTATGCCATAAGAGAATCACTTCTCTCCTAAAGAACCATGTTTGAAAAAGACATTTATGAGTGTGTCAAACCTTCACATAATGTAAGGGTTCTATACCAGTGAATGGGTCCTTTCCAGAAACTTTATGTTCTTTAGACTTTACAAAGGTTCTTTGAAAAACCACCCACTGAGAGGTTTTAGGGAGTTGAAAGTGTTCTTCTATGGTACAGTGCAAAAACCCTTTCTGGCACCTTTACTTCTAAGAGTGATAGGAATAAAGAAAAGATCACTGATCGTTTACGTGCACTTAATAATCCGATAACTGCAGAAAATTAAAATTTTGTCAGTAATCTGAGCGACATGTTTACATGCACTTGAGTAATCAGATAATGTGAAACTCCAGGTCCACATGAGTCAGACAGTAATCAGATTTCTGCTTTGCAACCAGCCAATAAATTCACAGATGACGACGTGACGTAAACGTAACGTGAAACTCAAACTTAATGCTGCAGCTTTTACATCACGCGACTTTTCTTGAAATATGAACATAGATCATCTAGAAGATGAAGAATATTTAAATCCTTCATTTCGTGTTTGGTCTCAGCGCCGCTCCCAGAGTGTTTTGTTGCCATAACATGGCATCGCTGCTGGTCTGTTTCGCACATGCACAGACTGAGAAATCCGAAAAGAAATCAGAGTAAGAGTTCACAGGCACTGAGAAATCTGATTACTGCGCTAAAAACCAGCTCTCTTGTTTGGATTTCTTCATCGAATTTCTAAACCGGGGTATGGTGTTTACATGACCATCTGAATAATCATAACTGCAGAAATCTGATTATATCGGATTATTGAGTACACATAAACACACTCACTGTTTGACAGTGGTCAGGTCTAGCATGCAAGCATCTATACTCATGACACATGGTCAGTCAAGTATTAAGCCATTATTTTTCACTATGTGGATCTCAAACGAAAATAAAGTGCCGCTCCTTCAAATGGTTGCCATTAATTGCAAACAACGGCATATGAAATGAAGGCTTTTTACGACAGAATAATGGCATGAACTGTGAAAAAAGGGAAACAAAAAAACTCCTTCATGGGCCAACGTCAATGTGCTCTATGAGTAAAAACAGAATACGATAGCAAAACAAACGTGGTGCTACAAGACCCATCATGGAATTCCTCAAATGATTCTTTAAAAGCAGTTAAAAATAACATACAACAGTCTGAGCATCAGACTGAGGTCACATACATATCTTATTTCAGTAAACAGCCAGTTACATTGTACAATTTTGTACAATAATAATGTCTATTTCAACATCACACGTTAAACGCATTATTTTAACAAATTTTAACAATATACAGCTTTCTTTCCTTTAGCTAATTACACAGGGTTTTTTTTCATGTTTATTTTCCGTGACTTCCTTTTATACTCAAGATAGAATTAAGAGGAAATATTATACACATTTGGGTCTAAAGATGACCCTCAGAGCTTATGCACTGAGCCTTAACGACCGACCCTCCCTCCTCCTGGAGGAGATATCGATGTCTATGGAATCTTTCCCAACAATGAGTCGGAGACGTTTTGCTGGTGGAAGTGGGATGAAATCATCATCATCATCATCATCATCATCATCATCATCATCCTCTTCGTCGTCTTCGTCCTCTTCATCCTCCTCAGATGAAGACTGCTCGTCCATGTGCTCGCTGCCCTGATCACCATTCAGAGCTTCATCCTTTCCAAGTTCGAAGGAACTCATCCCAGGGAAGTTGGTCTCATCAAGCCATGCTGGTGTGACCAGATGCTCACTGTCCTCACATTTCAACTGTATCTCCAGCTCGGTGGAGGTTGTGTGGGTCACAGGACTGAAGCCATTGTTCAACCTGGCTACGTAAGAGCTGCCCGCGTCCATGTTGTGGTCCTTGCTGAGCTTGATGCCGATCTTGGCGTTGGAGTTAACATGAGCCTCATTAGGCTCGCTGGACTTACTGCTGCTGCTATCCCTACGTCGACGCAAGGTCAGCTTGGGTATCCCTGTGCTCGTCTCCAAAATTAGCGCATCATACCGCGTGATCTGACGCTTCTTCTTCCCCTTGTCCAAACCCCGACTCCTACCCTTAGACTTGTCCTTCTTGGGCTTACCACGGTTTGTCACGGCATGATAATGCTCAGGTCTTTCAGGAAAACCGAGCAACATTTCACCACAATCCCTGACACTCGTCGCTTGTGTATCTGGCAGAAAGGTTGGAATGAAAGGTTCATAGGACGAGTCCTCACTCTTTATTAGCCTGTCCGGCTGCAGCTGAGTAAAGCGGCGACTTCGTGAGTGAGAAACTCTCCTGGTGTATCGGTCGTCTGGTTCAGGCTCATTCAACCTCATCCCATGAGTAAGGTATTCCTCCATATCAGCTGGCTCCGTTTTAATGACTACTTGACTGGGCACCAGGTCCTGGTGCTCAAAAGTGCTTGGTTCAGTCTTCGTGCCACTAACCTCCTGTGCCTTGAGCAAAGTCCTGATTGACCTTCGAGTTCTGTAAGTGCAAGTCTGACCAGTCTCTAATGCCGCAGACCATTTTAAAGAATGCTGATTGTTTTCCTTCGCAATGTGCTGGGTTAAGTAGTCTCCAGAACCCAGTGATTGAAAAGCTTCAAAAGAGTCCTTCTCCTTTTTCACCGGGACTTCTTTGCAGACTGCAGGGCCTGTAAATACATTAGCAGAGGTTTTCACCTCTGCCCCTCTGCTTTGGCTCCGTAGTTTTATGTTCGTGAGCAAAGGCCTTGAGGGATTTGATTTTAGTCTCTTTGGTACCCTGTTATTAGGGTGACTTTGTTTGGATGGTGAGGTAGATGTGTAGGCTCTTGAGAGAGACTGTCCATCATGAGTCCGGGTTTTGCTCAGCCTCATGCTAGCAGTTGTCCTTCTCCTAGAAGCTAAATGGAAAATTGTTATTAAACAGTGCATTTCTTCTTAAAAATATCAAAGAATTACCAGACGTTGCACACATTTCTCTCAAAACTTTGAAATACAGGGTGATTCAAAAAGATTCCTCCGATTTCAAAGCGCCATTTTTTACAACCGTGAGGTGCCTAGGAACCAATCACATACCAATTGAAAGAAGGGGTCATAGAGTTTCTGACTGGTTCCCTTCAGTCTGTGAGGAGATGCAACCCCTGAAGTGTTTTGCGTTCTCCACTTCAATAAGAGTGAATCCGTCATAACTGTGCAGCGTGGTATTCATAAGCAGTGAAGCTCCAACAGCTCAGAGCGTTCGTCGTTGGTTCCACAACACTGGATGATCTCCGAAATCGCACTGAAAGAGCCGTGAGTGCAGCGACACCCGAGATGCTCACTCGAGTATGGGATGAGTTTGACTATGGCGTTGATGTTGTCCGTACAGCTGGAGGAGGTTCATACTATTGTAAAACTACATAAACTTTATGCTCACTTAAACCATTTACAGTTTACTGAATTGTTCTGTAATGATTTACAAGTGAAATAAATCATTTTGAAATCGGATGAACCTTTTTGAAATCACCCTGTATTTTTAAACTGAAGCAGGAAAACTTTAAAACTCATAGGAATTGCTGAACAAAGCCTAGGCTGATCCTGTACATTTCAAGCAGGGACCACACAGCCTTGTCAAAACAGGTGTGCAGGGCAGACAGCAGAATGTGCAGATAAGCACATTTTCTCTGCTGACTCATCATGCATCAAAGCTCGGAGAGAACCTTTTTAGAGATGTTATTAAATATATGAGCAGGTTTTTGCTTTGGTGCCTTGATGCAGAACCATTCACACCAGTCAAGCTCTTTGGTTGCCTTCGGCTGATTTCTTTCTTTAAGTTGGCTTAAGGCATTATAGCAGTACAATAAATAACAATAAAACTCAATCGAAGGTACTATTCGGATGGGATTTGTTATACGTTGCATGTTGAGGTGAGGTTATTACTACAAGTGTCTCAGAGTGATTTTGGTCCTGTTCCTGGTCCTTGTATAAAACGAAACCACAGAAGTAACCCAGGTTTATATTAATCCCATGTGAACTATGTCAACTGTCTCTCTTTCTCACTCAAAACCAGCTCCAGGACCCCAACAAGTCTGGCTTCAAACCGGCGCACTCAACAGAAACTGCCCTTATAGCAGTGACTGAGAAGCTCCAGTCAGCAAGACCAGCCATACTGTCATCTGTTCTGATTCTTCTTGACCTCTCAGCAGCTCTTGACACGGTCAACCAAACAATCCTTCTGGATGTACTCACCAACCTTGGAATCACTTGCTCTGCATGGAAGTGGTTCAAGTCCTATCTGGTTGCCTTTATCAGGTAAGATGGAAGAGGGTCCACATCCTCTCCATGCAGGCTCTCCACTGGTGTCCCACAAGGCTCAGTGCTGGGTCGTCTTTTCTTTTCACTTCACACTCGTTCTTTTGGTGATGCAACATCCTTTCATGACTTCTCTCACCTCTTCTATGCAGATGACTCTCAACTAATGATTTCCTTCCCACCTTCTGACACCCAGCTTTCCAGTCGCGTCTCAGCATGTCTGACTGGCATCTCTTCATGGATGGCAGCTCAACACCTGAAGCTCAATCCTAGCAAGACTGAGCCGCTATTCATCCCTGCAACTACAGATCCTTATCATGATCTTGACAACTTATTCGAGAACTTTCTAATCGTTCCATCTGAAGAGGCAAGAAGTCTCTGTGTGATTCTGGATGGCCAGTTATTGTTCTCAGCTCATATCACGAACCTAACTCAGTCATGCAGGTTTCTCCTGTACAACATCAGCAGGATTCGACCCTCTCTCACTCAGGAGGCCACCCAGGTGCTCGTTCAGTCTCTTGTCATCTCAAGGCTTGACTACTGCAACTCACGCTTGGGTGGTCTTCCTATGCAGGTCATCATTCCTCTGCAACTCAATCTTCCTAAGTTCAGGCACGTCACTCCACTGCTGCGCTCCCTTCACTGGCTTCCTGTAGCTGCATCAGATTTAAAACCCTGATGTCTACAAAGCCAAAAATGGACCAGCCCCTCCCTCCCTAATGGCAATGGTCAAAACTCAAACTGTACCTCGAGACATTCAAGCTTCAAGTACAGCTCTGCTTGAACCGGCATCCTTCAAGATGCGTGGAGGACAAGCATCAAGACTTTTCTATGTCCTGGAGTCCAGATGGTGGAACGAACTCCCACTGGCTGTCCAAACAGCAGAGTCTCTCGCGGTCTCCAAACGCAGACTGAAGACACGTCTCTTTATACAGCACTTAAGTTAGCACTGAGTTAAGTATTTATTGTAATGTATTGTACAGCACTTACTGAAGCATATCACGCTTTGCTGTGTTCAACTCCGTTCCTTTTTCTCTAGGTATTAACATGGGCCTTTGTTTCTGGCAATATCTGAGCTCAGGACTGGCTTTCTCTCTAACCTATTACTAACAAGCAAAGATACTTTCTCCGAGTTGACAACAAAGCACTTTTTGTAAGCCGCTCTGGATAAGATGTGTAAGGTAAACACCCTTTTTTTAAAACTATTTTGAACACTAACATACAGACAGAAAAAAAGATGACTGGGTAGATGGTTAGAGTGAATGAAACTTGTGAGGAGCTGAAAGTATTGTGTATGGAATGTTGTTGATGGCAATGCATAATTTGAGATGGTTCTCTGTAATTTACACTGACATTACTTATTCTGTGAAAATGGGTCATAAACATTAAATATGTTCCTTGGTAAAATCACATTACCCAACATCACCACATAAAACTAATTCCATCCAGATAGTACTTTAAAAACTTTATAGTCACATATTAACAATGATGCAAGAAAAAAAAAAAAATCACCTTTGAACAGCAAAAAAAGTTTTACAAAATTTTGTCTGGTCTTACTTGAATGTATTTTTGGTGAATCCTGAGTGTCTGCATCTGTGTGAGAGCCAACAGAATGGCTATCAGAGTTCTGACTCCCTTCCCCCAGCTTCTTCAACCTATTCAGTCGCATGTCAGTCTCCCTCAAGCCATATTTACTATTAATAACTGGGACTGCCACAGGGAGTCCCATTTTTGATTTGAAAGCACCAGTGCCACGCCTGCAAACAGATGAGAACAGTTAATACAGCACAGTCCAACATACAAGTGTTCCAGACACTTCATCCAAATCCAGAAACAGAGTACATAAACAGATACTACACCTTTCACATGTGTAGCATTCACAAAATTCATTGTTTTCTCCAAAGAAGCCATCGCCATAATAGCACGAGATTTCCTCTCCGGGTTCAATGTCTCTCAGAGCTTTGACGCAAGCTGTGTCTCGACCCGTAGACACAAACTGGGAAAAAATAGAGAACGAAGTGTTCACTTTCATATACCAGACACATAATTTGCATAAATGCATGTTTGGAAAGATAATAAAACATATAATGACCTTGCAATTTGGCCGACAATCTGAAATGAAAAAAAGAAAGCCAGTGTTAAAAGAGAGCTTAACATTTTTCACCTTAGCAATTCACAGTAAAACACCAACACAATAAACAGTGGCTTCTTTCCATGCACAAGTCATAACTGTACCGTGGTTAATAAAAGCAGCAGGCCCGAGCCACAGTTGAGCACAGTTTTTGCGAGTGGAGTACATGACGCTGAAGTCATTTTCACCGTGGCGCAAAAGCATGTTCTCCTCACTTGCTGACAGCTCAGCAATACAACCAACCAAATATTCAATCTTATCATTCCTCTTCCTGTATCAGCAGAAATAAACAAATGAAAGAAAGCAATATTACAGCTCAGTTGAGTTATAAGTCTAGAGGATACTTTAAAATAAGAGATATGAGAATCTTTTTACCATTCTTTTGTTGCAACTATTTTGGCTCCATTTTGCTCAGAGGAATACCGGTTACAAGGCAATATTTCAAACCCACTTTTACTGTCGAACATGCGTAAATAAACAAATACCTGAAAAAGACACAAACAAGTTTAATATGTTTACATTTTTACATTTACAGCATTTGGCAGACAATCTTATCTAGAGTGACTTACAATTCGGTCATTTTGCACAGGTAGGTGAAGGTGGTGTTAGGAGTCTTGCCCAAGGACTCTTATTGGTATAGTGTAGGGCGCTTACCCAGGCAGGGGACTGAACCCCAATCTACAGCGTACAAGGCAGAGGTGTTACCCACTACACCAGAGTTCACTAATAGGCTGGCCCTAGTCCGAGTCCGGACCCAGACGCTGTCCTATGCGGACCTGGGCCTATAACCGATAAACTAAGGAGAGTTATTTCGACCGGGTGGTCCTATTTTAATCGGCGTAACTATTCTAGCCCCTACGGTAGCTTTAGCAGGCGGGAAACTCACAGACCAATCGCATGCGCTGTAAAAATCACCCGTGACGCTACTCAGCAAATCAGATCTGTGCATTATATTGAGCACTGAGACTTGAGTGAGTGACGCACACACAGGGGAGGGACGAGGCGAGACACAGCAGTTGGAGAAGAAAGTGAGCCAGATTATTTTACATGCTGTACTCTAAAAGAGAAAACTGACAAATATTGTGGAAATATTACTGAATTGTTGTTTATTTGATTCAACGTTCAGTTGTTGACTGCACAAGATGTTGATGTAACTACTACTTCAGTATACAATATATGGCACTGAATCATAATAAAAGTTGACATTATGATGTTCCGGACCTTTGCTTGTGGAAATGTTCTTTGACTGAACCTTACTGAATTTTAATTAAAGACCCCTGCACTACACTATACCAACAAATGTGCATTTTCTGTAAAACGCACACAAAGACAAAGATAGAGAGCGACGAGAAACATACATGCTGCTTGAAAAGTTTCTCCTGGGCTTTAGTCTTGGGGAGAAAATGATTTCTAGAGAAGTCTCCAGATGTTAAGGCCCTAAAAGATTGCTCCAGGTCGTTGTGTTTTTTAAAACTCTCTATTATTTCCTTCAGCTCCTCTTGTCTTCCTTTGAGTGGTCGAAACCTACGCAGAGTAAAAACAGAACATGAAAGTACACTTTGTCAGCAAGAGCCACCTCAAGTGAAATTGGGTAACAATATGACTATCAAAATCAAACTGGAAGTAGGACAGAACACAGTGCTTATTCTCTGGATGTACAGTTACCTGGTATTCATCTTATGGGTTTGAAACCCAAGGTAAGGGTCAAGAATGAGGCCTGTGGTAAGATCATCGTTCTCACACAGCTCCTTGGCTGTCATTCCTGAGGACGGGACGTGACGTCTCTCCACCTCCAATGGCCCAGCATTGAAACCTATGCAACAAAAACAGTTATAAGTGAAAGAAGTTCTGTGCCACTTGTTATTTTTTCCACCCTTGAGCGTACAAGATCTGAAAGTACTCACGGCGGCTGCATCTCCTGCCGCTGAGGGAGCTCTTGCTGGGACGCGCATGCTGAGTACGAGTTTGGCTACCTGGCTGTTCACCGAACCTGCTTCCATGTCGTCTGCCACTTACTACCATGTTCTTGGATTCTCCCAACCACTTCATACCCACAAACTGCTTCGGTTAGTTGCATTGATTCTTAGTGCTGTGGAGGAAATTAAGAGTGTCTGTTAGTCAGTTTGGGGTCAGATGATATTGCTGTGTCGGACCTAAAGATGGGCAATATGATGATATGTTATTGTTATGGTGACTAAATTTGTTATAGTGATAAACAATATGCTTTTGTGAGCATAACATCCATACTTAAAGAACACAGATCGACGGCACGTTTCATTAAATAGAGCATAATTAGTCCTGTTTAATTAGTCTTGGGTATGTACCACACTCTCAGTGTAAAAACTGACTGTTGTTATTGTATGAAGATGATGGGCTTTGCAGTTAATCATGTTCTCCCGCGTTACTCCCTCCTTGTGTTTGTTGGGGAAGTGCTGGGCTGGCCATTTCTTGCCGCCTGTTGAAGAGTCTGTTTAATACATAAAAGAGCATTTGCCCATATGTGCCACATCCCTGAACCGACGGTACAGTATCATGCATCATAAAAAAGCCTTTAAGTATCGTGATGTGATATTTTTCCTATATCACTCACCCCTCGTCTGACCATTCTGTACACCTGAAGATAAAATGCATGATACTGTATTGCAGACTTTGCTGAAATGTATGGCCAACATACACCGATCAGGCATAACATTATGACCACCTCCTTGTTTCTGCGCTCATTGTCCATTTTATCAGCTCCACTTACTATATAGGTGCACTTTGTAGTTCTACAGTTACAGACTGTAGTCCATCTGTTTCTCTGCATACTTTGTTAGCCCCCTTTTACCCTGTTCTTTAGTGGTCAGGACCCCCATGGACCCTCACAGAGCAGGGACTATTTGGGTAGTGGATCATTCTCAGCACTGCAGTAACACTGATGTGGTGGTGGCTTGTTAGCGTGTGTTGAGCTGGTCTGAGCAGATCAGACACAGCAGTGCTGCTGGAGTAAACACCTCAGTGTGACTGCTGGACTGAGAATAGTCCACCAAACAAAAATATCCAGCCAACAGCGTCCTGTGGGCAGCGTCCTGTGACCACTGATGAAGGACTAGAGGATGACCAATACAAATTGTGCAGCAGATAGATGAGCTATCGTCTCTGACTTTACATCTACAACAATGCAGGTTCATCTAATAGAGTGAACAGTGAGTGGACAGTGTTTAAAAACTTCACCAGCACTGCTGTGTCTGATCCACTCATACCAGCAAAACACACACTAACACACCACCACATCAGTGCCACTGCAGTGCTGAGAATGATCCACCACCCAAATAGTACCTGCTCTGTGAAGGTCCATGGGGGTCCTGACCACTGAAGAACAGGGTAAAAGGGGGCTAACAAAGTATGCAGAGAAACAGATGGACTACAGTCTGTAACTGTAGAACTACAAAGTGCACCTATATAGTAAGTGGAGCTGATAAAATGGACAATGAGCGTAGAAACAAGGAGGTGGTCAGAATGTCCAATCATTACGGATACTATGAAGTTACGCTGAAACGGATAAAGTGAAGACGCAAATTAATCAACAGGGATGCCTGTGTTAACCTGTAAACGTCTAAGTGAGGGTCATTATCATAGAATAGTCGGAGAAAAATATATTTGGGTATAACAGTTTTACAACAGCTGACCAAATAACAGCTGCGACCTGACGTAAATATCAATAAACTTCTTAGCTACAAAACGAAGCAGTAGCTAAACACTCGGTCATCCAAAAACGAACTAGTTTCACTGGCTGTCCAACATATTAGCTGGACACGACTGACCAGGTATCTGGAAAAAAAACAGAATATAACACAAAGCAAAAGCTACAAAACAAAAACTGCTCACCCACGCCTGTTAGCTAACCTAGCCAGCTAGATAGGTGTCTATTTAACTTGGTGTTACTCTGTTGACTATCAAAGTCAAGAACAACAATAAATATAACTAACGGCACATTTATTTATTTAGTTGTTTCCTACATATATGTTAGAATTGTGTGACCAGCTGCCACAACATTACTCGCTGTGTAACGTTATACAGACTCAGGATTAAACGCAACGTTGAACTTAACGTCAGTACTTAGGACTTAGCCACTAGCTAACGCTGCAGTTGGCCGGTTGGGTAACCTCGCTAAACTTCGAAAAGGGACCGAACTGATGAACTGTCCGTCCCTCTCTGGATCTAAAATTAACAGTACCTGATTAAGACTTCTTGTTGGCGGTGTAAATTAGTCTCAAATCCCCGCACAAGATTAATTAAACGTTACCGGCTGGAGGTGCGGGCTGGTAGCGTTAGCGTTAGCTGACTAACCGAGCCCAGCGTCCTTTAGCGGTGTTGTTGTGCTGATTAAAAATAGGCTCACACGAATTAACACACGCAGAACCCACCGCTAAACCAGATCATTACAGCCCTGTGTTCGGCTGGTCGGTACACAGTTTTACGTTACTGAGCTACCTGGCTATCGTTAGCTTTTCTAGCGGTCTGGCTAACTCAGACAGGCTGTTTGGTTAGATGGCTATCAAGCTAACGGTGAGACACTCACTCAGTCATCGGCCGCCATCGAGAACTTCAGCCCTGCAGTCTCCACTCCAAACCAGATACAAAATACATAAAAACAGGGGAAACATAGGATAGATAACTTAACTACACACAGAAATTACCATTAAAACTCAAGATGGCGGAGGTCTATGAAGAAGAAAGATAGCAGAGCAGTCGGTTTCGAGAAAAAAGGCTCAGCCGCGTCTTTTCACTTATTCAGAAAAATCGCTCATATAACCACAAACGTCGTGGATGTCAGAATCTAAGATGAATTTCAGTGAGGAAATGTTTAAAATGCGCGATTCTCTAATCGTTTGAGAACTACTTTGCCGTGCTCGGAGGAACACCAAAGTAGTCCCGTAAAAACAAACCAGTGTCCCTTTAAAACGTGTTGCCAGATCAAGATATTCTACTCCTGGGGAGATACAGGAACTCCTCTGAGTGATATGAATGCTGTATTGTTTTGCGTAATTACCACAATTATGTGTGCTGTGAGGCTCTTTATGAGAATGTGGCATTTCCCAAACGCATACAGTTTGAACTATCCTTGGATTTACTTTCAGTGCACACTAATCTTCCGTTGACCTTCATCATAAACGTTATCGGTGAGCCCAGAAATACTGCTGATGCATATCAGCCATCTTGGAATTACTGGAATCTCAAGACTTTAACTATAAAAAGACATGGAAGCTCATGGCATGAGAAACTGGTTACAGAGAAATATGTGAGACAGAAGTGTGCAGTTCAGGACAGGAGTTGGGAGACAGTGGTTTAAGCTTCAACTCTTTGTTATTAGTTAAAGCAGTAGCGTCCAGCTTGGTCCTGCAGGGCCAGAGTTGGACCGTTCCTGTACTGTTTGATTAGGGTTGGGGGCAGATCTACAGGGTGTCCCAAAAAAATGGACATCATTTCGTAGTCTAATAACATTAGACTGCCAATTCTCCCTCAAATGATATCAAATTCAAACGGAATGTGTAAAAACTAACCAAGTTTAATTTTTAATGTTTTTTTCATGTTGAAGAATGGCGTTCACTAGAAATGAAAAGGCATTTTGTGTGTTAGAATATGCTCGAACACAGTCAAACAAGAGTGTGCAGAGTGCATTTTCAAGAAAATTCAATAAAAATGCACCAACTGGAAAGCAGATTTGGACACGGCACAAAAAATTCAAAGAGGAAGGCTGTCTGTGCAGGGCGAAGGGATCTGGATGACCACCAGTATCGGAAGATATTACATTTGTGAAGCTGTGAAATCGGTTAGAAAATCTACATCCCTCTGAATTTCTTGTTCGAATTTTGGTAAATACATCTTGTATTGTTCAACATGAAGCCTATTTAATTTCGTGTGCCAGGACATGTAGTTACTCAGATATTCACATCTCAAATGATGTAAATTTTTTTGGGACACCCTGTAGTGATTCCGGGGCTCTAGGCAAAAGACAGGCATGAATACACATTTTTAAATTAGTTTAGGCTCTGGGCTTCTGAGTTATGCAGCCATCTACACTGCAAAAAATGATCTCTTGGCAAATTAAATCATCTAAAGTCTAGTAGACATATCCAATATGTCTCATTTTGAGCTTGTTGTAAGAATGTTAAAAGATTAATTAACTTATTTCTAGACACTTTTACTTAGGTCATCATATGAATTATATTAACTATATCATGTTTTTTCCAGTTATAGCCCCCAGACTCTGGAATGAGCTGCCTTTGCATGGTAGGCTGGCCTCTACACTTTCTGTGTTTAAATCCTGTCTCAAAACACATTTTTATTCTTTGGCTTTTGATTCAGTGTGAGAGCTGCTTATCCTTCATGTTGTTGTTACAATCTTACTGCTTGTGTTTATTGTTTTTTTGTGTTTATTGTTTCATTGCCTATTTTTTTGAGTTTTGCTATGTTTGTACAGCTCTTTGGTCAACAGCTGTTGTTTTTAAATGTGCTCTATGAATAAATTTGATATGACAATGACATTAAGTGAAATTATCTTACTATACTGGCAGATAATTTGGCTCACACTACATGGACGGAAGTATTAGGACACACCTCTTAATCACTGAATTCAGGTGTTTCATTCAGTCCCATTGCCACAGGTGTATAAAATCAAGCACCTAGCCATGCAGTCTGCCTTTACACACGTGTGAAAGAATGGGTCGTTCTAAAGAGGGCACTGAATTTGAGTGTGGTGCTGTAATAGGATGCCATCATTACAACAAGTAAGTCTGCAAAATTTCTTTCCTCCCAGGTATTGGGTGATCAGCTGTGAGTGGTATTATTGAAAAGTGGAAGCACAGCACTCAGCCACAAAGTGTCAGACCACGTAAAGTTACAGAGCAGGTCGCAGAGTGTTGAGGAACGTAGAGCATAAAAGTCACCAATGCTCTACTGATCAATAACTGCAGAGTTCAAACCTCCTCTGGCATCAACATCAGCACAAAAACTGTGGGCTTTATTTCCATGGCTGAACAGCTGCCTGCAAGCCTTACATCACCAAGCACAATGCCAGGCTTCAAATGGAGTGGTGTAAAGCGCCGCCACTAGACTCTGGATCAGTGGAAACGTATTCTGTGTAGTGATGAATCAGCTTCTCTATCTGTCAGTCTGATGGACGAGTCTGGGTTTGGCGAATGCCAGGAGAACATTACCTGCCTGACTGCACTGGGCCAGCTGTAGAGTTTGGTGGAGGAGGGATGATGATATGGGGCTGTTTTTCAGGGGTTGGTCTAGAACCCTCAGTTCCAGTGAAGGGGAATCTTAATGCTTCAGCACCAAGACATTCTGGACAGTTCTATGCTTCCAACTTTGTGGGAACAGTTTGGGGAAGAACCTTTTCTGTTCCAGCATGACTGAGCCCCAGTGCACAAAGCACCTCCATAAAGTCATGGCTGGGTGAGTTTGGTGTGGAAGAACTTGACTGGCCCTCACAGAACCCTGACTTCAACCCCATCAAACACCTTTGAGATGAACTAGAACGGAGATTGTGAGCCAGGCCCTCTCGTCCAACATCAGTGTCTGATGTCACAAATGCTCTTCTGGATGAATTCTCACAGACACTCTCCAAAATCTTGTAGAAGCTTCCCGGAAGAGTGGAAGCTGTTAGAGCTGCAAAGGGGGACCAACTCCATATTAATGCCTATAGAATTAGAATGGGATTCATAAAAGCTCCTGTAGGTGTAAAGTGCTGTAATGTGTCCCGAAACCTTTGTCCATATAGTGTATTTTAAGACACATGCTTAAAGCAAAATGATCTGCCAATATAGTTAAGATAATGTAGTACAGACTAACATAGAAGTCAACTATAATAAGTAACGTAATCCCATCACATTTCGAGAGATGTGATTAGTAAGGTGTAATGTACTAATTTTTTACTATCATTAACGCTAGCATTACGTATGGTCTGCTGAGCAGTTTGCACTTTTTATGTTTTTCTGGTGTACTTGGTTACCTTTATTTGATTTTCCCTCTCAATACCTAGTAAATCACACTGAAGAACCGCCTCTCCAAAATGTAAATTACCTGGAACATACCAGTCTGTCTTTAAACAGTTCTGTAATCACTTAACAACATGGAATAGACCATTAGAATCATGACTGGGGGTGGGGCTGCATTCAATTACTGAAAAGAACCACTACAATTGCAAATAACAGCTATACAGTATATGTAATCTGTATTTTCATTGGGCCCTTGTGTTATGGGGTCCCTAGGCAGCTGCCTACCTTTGCCAAGTGCAAAGGCCGCCACTGGTTAGCACAGGTGTAAAGTAGGCTACTCAATACTTTGTCCAGTGCACTATGTGAAGGCACTAATCAATCTCATATGTTTCAGGCATTCAGCACATGCACATTTGTCAAAATCACCCCATAAACTTTGGTGCAAAATAACAGATGAAACAAGGTTTTTTTTTGCTTTATTGAAAACTGGCTGAAACCATTAGTTAGGGAAGAAAACACTGCAATTCACATTCACATTCACAAAGAACCCCCATCACATTCATCAAAACAGGCAAAAATATCGTCACGCATCTACACATCACAATGTAAACAATCATCATACAGCACTAAGTAGATACAGATAAATATGACATAAAATCACATTATAAAATACACACACCGTTCAGTGAATGGATCCTACGGCATTTCCTTAAACTGATCCAATGCTACCAAATACAGATATTTTGACTGGAACTTCATTTCAGATTAAAGGTGCAAAGAAATAGTATGTCTTGCAACGAAATAATGGTTGAAGAGTAAAATAAACCAGTGAAATGAAGTGTCTATCTGTTAAAAATGCATAAGGAGGTAAAAGCCCTGTCTCATCAATCCTGAATTCTCTGTACACACCATAAAAATCATGATGTGTATGTGGTAAATAGCACCTGTGATAAAGAAAAGTATTTTTGTCGACCACATCAACAGGCATCGTTACTGCTCTAGCGCTGTGCCGATTCACATAAGCACAGTTACGAACTTGCACAGTCAAATAACTAATTTATATTTCCACTTCAGTCTGATTCTGAGTGTCTTAGGTAAACAACTTTGGTGAAGCAAGATATGAAGCTAAATATTCAACATGCGTAGTTGTAGTTCGGTAAGAATCCCATCTAGGATACAACTAGTCCATCTAGGCATAATGCAGCACTCATTGGCATGTACCATGCATTTAGTTTCACATGCATTCATATCTGTTAACTTTATAGACTATTAACTGCAGCCAAACAAGGCCAATTCACAGAAACAACATCTAAATACAATATACTGCCATCTGCAAAAAGGATACCTTCATATTTGAACCAATACTGTTAATTATGTAAACAGATTCAAATCCTGAGGGTCATTTATTTACAATCACTGGGCCAGAGGCGATGTAACTGTGTCCTTACTTGGGTCATACAAATGTAAAATATTGGGTTATATTTCATTTTCATAATGCTTTTACATTAGCCACAATGAACATTCATTTCAGCCAAGATGTAAATACAATTCTGGATCATACATATATACATTCTCTAAGGCATGTGATGGAGCACCAATGACTAATATAGTGAGTAAAAATCCAGCTCAGTGTGAAAGAACAATGCCAGCGATGATCGAAAGTTTGCAATCATCTCAAGAATTCATGAATTTTTTAACTGAAGAAAAAAAATCTTGGTTGTCTGATGACCTACGACCCAATATATCGTCGATGTCTCCAGAAAAACACGTATCGCCATTTTTCTTGATTATTATTTTTCTATATAATTTGAGCGCAGCTGCTGCCTTTTACATTGTGTGAAAATTTCATGACGAATGGACCAATAGAAATGCTCTAAAATCACTTTCAAGAAAACCTCTTTTCATTAACTTACACTGAAAGTAAGAATGTTTTTGCTTTCTCCTGTGAAGTTACTATTTTGGAGATGGTTGTTTTTCTTTGGACAGCGACGATATATTTAATAAGAAAAAAGGAAAATCTTTCAAAAGAAATCCATTAATCTAAACATAAATTATAATAAGGGGCAAATAAAATGAGATGTAACTGCACCTCCTCACTCCTTTAGCACCAGAGTTCAAGATTCTGTACATTGTACGCAAAAGTTTGAAATCCTCCATTCAAATTACATATTTTGTTGGCTTGAAAAGAAGTTGTCACGTCCTCAACACGGAACAAACTTAAATATGGAATTTTTCTGCAGATTTTAGTGCACAATTTATATTTATTTCAGTTTAAGATACTGAAAATAAAACATAAAATGCCATAACTTTTGCGCTGGCCACATTTTATTTATTTTTACTTTATTTTTAATTATTTATTTTTTTCCCAATATGTTAAATTTAGCAAACAGTCAGTAATTATGCATTAAAATGTGTGTTGTCTGCAGAGAATGTGAACTTTTTTCACTTAAAAAATCAGCAAAACATTTCATTTGAGTTGGGGAGCCCATACTTTTACATGCGAATGTATATTAATGTTGCATTTTGCACCATCAGCATATGTTCTAAAGAACGGTCAGGTAGTGAATTACATGGAGCTTTTTCCTTCTAGCTGGTTAATTCAGTTACTCAGCTGTGCGACACACTGGACTAAGCTCACTTATCAGACTGTAAAAGATGCAAACAACAAAACCAGATTTGTGATTAAAGATGTATCATAGGTGGTCAGTTGCAAACTGTGGGGCAGCACAGTCATATTTCTGAAGTTATGTTTGGCAGAGATACAGTCTAATTGAATAGGGCTCTGCTGGGTGGCTCTTAGTTTCCGTTTTCTTCCACCTAGAAAACACTTCACTATATTTGAGTTTTTAAACTTTGGACAAACCTTTCATTTTCTTTATTCTTCATTGCCTGAGCTTAGACAAACCATCATGCTTCATTGGAGTCATATTGAAGTAGAGGAGTTCTGGGACATATTAAAGGGGAATTCCACCAATTTTGCAAAAAATTCTGTGAAATTAAATGGTTGAGGTGTCAACAAATGAATTCAGAGTGGTTTAAAATTCTCAATTTTAGAAAAACTCAGAATCGTTTACAGTGGCAGTGATAGGAACCAGACATCCGGAGAGTTTAATGCCTCTAAAAGCTCCCTCACAGAAAGCTGTTACATTAAATGGTTACAAATACACTGTCTGTTGATTTATGATGCACTCTTTAAAAAGATGGTTCTTCAGGGGTTCTTTAGTAAAGAAAATGGTTCAAAATAGAACCATGAACACTTAAAGAACCCTTTGCATTATAAAATGGTTCTTCAGATTGATGGAGAATGTGCTATAGACCATTTTCAAAAAGGTTCTATATAGAACCACATATGGCACATTCTCCATCAATCTGAAGAACCCTTTTACAATCCAAAGAACCCTTTAGTCATGCAACAGGTTCTTTAAGTGTTCACAGTTCTATACAGAACCTTTTTCTTTACTAAAGAACCCATGAAGACCCATCTTTTTTTAAGAGTGTAGCTTTGAGGAAAACCTTCGGCCTAAACCATATTTTTCACAATACAGCGTGATGCAAAAAGATTCATCCGAATTCAAAGCGCCATATTTTTACAACCGTCAGGCGCCGAGGAACCAATCACAATCCAATTTAAAAAGGGGGTCATAGAGGTTCTCACTGTCAGTGGAAGATGGGTCCCCTCAGTCTGCGAGGAGATGCGACCCCTGAGCAGAAAGCGTTCTGCGTTCTCCGTTCTCCACTTCAATAAGAGTGAATCTGTCATAACTGTGCAGCGTGAAAGAGCCGTGAGTGCAGCGACACCCAACATGCTCAATCCAGTATGGGATGAGTTTGACTATGGTGTTGATGTTGTCTGTACAGCTGGAGGAGGTTCATACTGAGACCTTGTACAATTACATAATAAACTTTATGCTCATTTAAACCATTTACAGTTTACTGCATTGTTCTGTAATGATTTACACGTGAAATTTTGAAATCGGATGAATCTTTTTGAATCACCCTGTATATTCAGTGCAGACAGGTACATGCAAGGCATTGTAAAGCTAAATAGTCCCTAAAGAAAACATTTTTTTCCCCAGAATTATAAGTGTTTTCCCATCATCAACAGAAGACGTGTCGCTTTGAATAGTCAATAAAATAGATATATTTGCGTTGTAGATTTCATGACCCCTGGTTCCTACCACTATCACTATAAAGAAATTGGAATAGGCACGTTTCAGTAGAATGGAGCATTTCCCGTTAGTCCACTCCGAATGACTTTGTTTATATCTCTGTCATTGAAATATGCTGCTTTAAAACAAAGAGCATGAGCTGGGGTGGCCAAGTATTCAAGGGCAGCAAGGTTTGAGTGGATTAAATAAACATGATGTCCCAGCCCCTGTGGCTTTAAAACCCGGTTAAGCCAATAAAAGAATTTTCAAATTTATTGGCTGTAAAACCGTGAAACACAATGTAATGTCTTAAACTTTTATTCTAACCCATAACAAAAACACAGTTTGTGCAACCAGAAACAACCAGAAATCAGATCATGCATTTTCTTAAGGAAATCACTTTAATAAGTCAATTGATTCTCAACATCCATTCGGCAATTTAAAGGTGAGACATTGGACCTAATCTAATTGTTCTTCAATGCATCAACATTAAAATTATACTTTAACCGAAAGGGTCTAATTTACCTCAAACGGAGCCCGTTTGTGTGGCATGTGTGTGTGGCAGTTTACATTTCTCACTATCCCACCATCCACTGATACTACTTAATACAATTGGTTGTAAAAATAACCTTAGGCTTCTTTCATGTCAACACTTTTGATGACTTCCTAATTTGGAAACTCCTTTTTTTTTGACTGAACTTTCAAATACAGTAATCGTGCTGGGCGTTTAGTCTCTAAACTCGGATTACATTAGTCCACACTAGTTTTACTACATTCTCCCTGTATCCCAGCAGAAAAATCTCCCATGAACAGCACCAATGGAAATTTATGTGTTAAGTCACAGTAGATTAGATGTCCGCTAAGTACGTGCTATGCTGATTTTTTTTTTGTTGCTGCTGCAGGTGCAGCAAGAAGGATTATGCAATGTGTATGTTCAAGAGAGAGAGAGAGAGAGACAGAGAGAAAGAGACAGAGAGAGACATGGTAGAGTTTTATAATCAGGAGGAAGAGGGCGAGGAAACGCTTTGAGACAAATATCCACGGCATCACACAGTTACATTTGACCACAGTCTGCTAACAGTAGGGCAGAAGAAGTGAGGAAAGACCGCCTGGTCAAGGTGTACAGATGAACGGGCTTAATGGGTTTTACACTTCCAGAATGTGGCTCAATGAGGCAAATGCCAGGCACTGAATGCACTTGCTTTGTTACAACTGCAGATTCTCAACCCAGCTCTCAAAGCAGCCTAGCTGATTTTTATTTATAAAGCCAGTGGTCACCAACACCGGTCCTGGAGACCTTTAGTTCCAACCACAATTTGCCACACCTGCTCCAACTGCTTTGCGCTATAATTGGAAAGCAGATCTCCAGGAGGAGGGTTGGTGACCATTGGCTTAGGCTATATACACCCATCAGGCATAACATTATGACCACCTCCTTGTTTCTACGCTCACTGTCCATTTTATCAGCTCCACTTACTATATAGGTGCACTTTGTAGTTCTACAGTTACAGACTGTAGTCCATCTGTTTCTCTGCATACTTTGTTAGCCCCCTTTTACCCTGTTCTTCAGTGGTCAGGACCCCCATGGACCCTCACAGAGCAGGTACTATTTGGGTGGTGGATCATTCTCAGCACTGCAGTAACACTGATGTGATGGTGTGTTGCGCTGGTACGAGTGGATCAGACACAGCAGTGCTGAGTTCAGCTTGGTCTAGTCATAATGACTTGCACCTCTTTAGCTTCTGGATAAAATAACACTAATACAACAATGTCTTACTCTTGACTCTAACTGAGTCTTTGTGGAAACAGCATTAAAGGTTTAAAACTGAGATTTTTTGTGTAACACTAGTGAAAAGCACTCATGAGACAATTATCTTTTTTTTTCACATTACAACCCTTTTTTGGCCTCAACCCTAATGAGGTTTCACTTTTTAAGACGATTTCAGGTTCAGAGTCTTGGAAATTATTATTTTATAACTCTACAAAACCACACATATCAAACTTGAAGTAACTATGTACTGCAGGAGTGAAATCAAATGTATTTTTGCTTTCAACCAAGCTGAGAGTTCACACTGCATATACAGTCTTGATACCATCACCCTTTGTGTGACTTTCCTCAAGCGGGTTTGAATGATTAGGTGTGACCGTCACTACCCTCAGGTATGTTATCCACTCAAAATCGTTCTACTTCTAATCACAAAAACATCAAAGGCAACATTTCTCATTCTAAAGGAATTCACTCTGAACAGATGTTTGCATAGTTATTGACGTTTGACCAGTAAGAGGATGCTTTCCTGCCTGCAACGTTAGAATAAACTAATTTATTGCTGTGAAAGAAGGCTGTTGGTAACTATGCCACTCCAAACTACACTGCCTATCGTTCTTTTACCTTCCACTATCTCTTGCATGCGGATCTTACAACAAACATAACTTTTTTTACTGTCCTGTGGCTTAGTTAGGTTTGAATGACCAGACAACAGACTGGAAATGCAAAACCCAATGCAGCCGGAAAGGTCTGAGAAAAAGGGGGCATGGTGATCCTACATTCTAGAAGATTTTGTCAAAACATTTTAGTGCAGCATTAAACAAAATTGTTGCAGTAAATTATATTCAATATCAAACGCTATTTACACACATGGTAAACACTGCCTCCCCCTAAAAAAAGAAAAAAAAAAAAAACATACACACATACATACATACATACATACATACACGCCATTATATTAAGAGAACTCTGCCACTCCAATGGAAAGTCTTCCATGTTACTTGGTGAACTGCCAGAACTGAAACAACAAAGACACATTTGTGTTGAACTGCATTCCCAGATTAAAGCCAGTTGAATTGAATTCAGTGCTATCAGTTCAGTTTGACCTTAACACACCTTAATCAAGCTGTTCCTGATGCGTCAGTGACTTTGTTCTCCCCCTCAAACTCCTCCACCCCTGCCTGAGTCATGAGGTCAGAGATGTTCTTCTCCAGGTCATCAATTCGTGTACTCATCTCATCAAGTGTGCTGATTAAGGAGAATCTCACATGATGTTTCACCACAAAACGTTGAGTTAGTATCAAACAATCTATTATTTATCCGATTCTGATTCTTCTAGATCCGTGCGGGCATACATACAATTTTCATCTTGGAGCCCCAAATTTGTGGAGTTACTCATCAAACTACACCAATCAGGCATAACATTATGACCACCTCCTTGTTTCTACGCTCACTGTCCATTTTATCAGCTCCACTTACTATATAGGTGCACTTTGTAGTTCTACAGTTACAGACTGTAGTCCATCTGTTTCTCTGATACTTTGTTAGCCCCCTTTTACCCTGTTCTTCAGTGGTCATGGACCCTCACAAAGCAGGTACTATTTGGGTAGTGGATCATTCTCAGCATTGCAGTAACACTGACGTGGTTGTGGTGTGTTAGTGTGTGTTGTACTGGTACGAGTGGATCAGACACAGCAGGGCTGCTATAGTTTTTAAACACTGTGTCCACTCACTGTCCACTCTATTAGACACTCCTACCTTGTCAGTCCACCTTGTAGATGTAAAGCCAGAGACGATAGCTCATCTCTTACTGTACAGTTTGTGTTGGTCATCCTCTAGTCCTTCATCAGTGGTCACAGGACACTGCCCACAGGACGCTGTTGGCTGGATATTTTTGGTTGGTGGACCATTCTCAGTCCAGCAGTGAAACTGAGGTGTTTAAAAAATCCACTCAGACCAGCGCAACACACACTAACACACCACCACCACGTCAGTGTTACGGCAGTGCTGAGAATGATCCACCACCCAAATAGTACCTGCTCTGTGAGGGTCCATGGGGGTCCTGACCACTGAAGAACAGGGTAAAAGGGGGCTAACAAAGAATGCAGAGAAACAGATGGACTACAGTCTGTAACTGTAGAACTACAAAGTGCACCTATATAGTAAGTGGAGCTGATAAAATGGACAATGAGCGTAGAAACAAGGAGGTGGTCATAATGTTATGTCTGATCGGTGTATAATGTATAATAAGCTGCTACTGGCTTGGGAGAAACCACCTTGAGTGAATCTCACAAGTTTGTCTTTATTTGTCTCAAATTCTTACACCCTTTAAAAAAGGGAGTTCTTTAAGGGTTCTTTAGCAAATGCAATGGTACAGAACGTTGACAACCTCAAAGAACTGTCTGAATGCATAAATGGCTTCTTTCTATCATGAAAGAACTGTTGTGTATGGTTCTTAAAACCCCTTTTAAATAAGTGGTTCTAAATAGCACCAATGGTTCTACATAGAAACTTTTTTGGTATTATATAGAGACACTTTTTGGTAAGAGTATACATTTAACATCTTGTGTATTAATAATTCTCTTTTTTTTATTTTTCTAGTATTTAATCAACTGCAGCGCTGACATCATGTTAATCTACACAGATCCCTGATTTCCTTTGTCCATGTCTCTGGTTTATTGGCTCCTAATCTCTCAACAACACACACTTCAGCAAACCACTACGTCAAGGCAGGATATTCCTTCCGATGATCTGGTCTGACATGGTCTGGAACTTGTCCTGCATCTGCTGCAGTAAGGTCTGGACCTAAAGAGAGTCAGAGAGAGAGAAATGAATGGCATTTCAGGAACCAATCAGCATAACACAGCGCTCACTTAATTCATGCGCCGCATGCACGCAAGCCTCTCTCAAAGTGTGTGGGTGTTTGGGGTCGCTACTGCCTCCCCGCAGCAGAGGGTAGATAAAAGCAGTTGAAAGTCATGCCATGCGCCTACGCGTGCAGCCGAAACCATGGAAACGAGGTATTTTTGAGCGAACAAAGAGTAGTCAGTCAATTTCACATGAAATAAACTCCATGGCAACTGGAATTTGATTAATTTATGGTACACTCTTAAAAAAAGACGGTGCTTTACTAAGGCCATTGGCTCTGTTTAGAACCATGAGTTCTATATAGAACAACTTCATGCTTAAACAGTTCTTTGTGTGGTGAAATTTGTGGAGAATGTGTTGTATATGGTTCTATGTAGCACCAAAAAGGGGTTACAAGCTTGACATCGTAACAGCAGAAGAACTCATGGTTCTAAATAGAACTCTTGAAGAACTCTTTTGCTTTTTTAAGAGCGTAACTAGCAAAGATAGTTTCCAATTTCCAGCAGTCTTTTCTCCAGACACATAATGTAATTGCCCAAACCACTTCTATGAACATTTATAACAAATTTATTTCATTAGCCAGTGAAATATATATATATATATTTACACACACACACACACATATATATGGTAGCCTTTAGCTAGAACATCTCTAGAACATCAGGCACGAGGTGTATTAAATAGGAAGGCGGCCGTCTAAGCTCGCGTAAGTATATATATATATATATATATATATATATATATAAACACACATTCACACACAGTTTCAACCAGAGGAGCGATAAAAACGCGAGCTTAGACGGCCGTCTTCCTATTTAATACACCTTGTGCCTGATGTTCTAGAGATGTTCTAGCTAAAGGCTACCAAACACATTCACGAAGCCATGGAAACGACGGAATCCCCGCAGTTTGGCTGACAGCTCGGTAGCCACAGCTACAGCTACGGTAACGCTAACGATACGACTGCCACACTTACCACGACCGTCAGGTCCTGAGTGGATTTGGGATCCGCGTCCGACATGGCTTTAACCCGTATCTTTGCGAAAGAGCCTTGAACTGAGCGACTGTTCGTGAGAACTTGCCCGCAAATTCTGTGCCTTTGCTAGTTACGTAGCTGGCTGCCCACACAGACAGGACTCTGGCAGTACTAGAGGAAAGTGATCTGTGACTGGTAGATGGTGGCCGACTCTGAGACACACTGCCCCCTACCGGGATGGAGGGGCCCAAGCATCGAGGCTAAGTACACCCAGAGCCGGTTTACCATTTCTCTGGTACACCTCTATTTGAATGTATGTGTAAAGTATGAAAACCACCTACGGAGCCCCGCTGGTGACATCCTGTATAAATAAAAATAATGCGTGGCCACAACTTAAGGCGTGGGAACGAGATAAGTAAGTCATAGCCACAAATTAGTAAGGCGTGGGAATGCCTTACTAAAGCGTGGGGACGAGATCCTAATGCGTGGCCACGACTTTGTAAGGCATAATCTCATTCCCACGCCTTACTGAGTCGTGGCCACTACTTAATTATCTCAGGGCTCCGTAATAACCCGTTTCCGCCACTTGAAAAAGGGCCATGTGGTCTTAACAAGGACATAATACTGTTTACTGCTACTATACTATACCGTACTACGGAGCCCTGCTGGTGACATGCCATATAAATAAAAATAATGCATGGCCACGAATTAGTAAGGCATGGGAATGAGACAGGCGTGGGAATGTGATCATGCCTTACAAAGTCGTTACCATGCCTTAGGATCTCGTTCCCATCCTTTAGTAAGTTGTTCCCATGCCTTACTAAGTTGTGGCCACGCATTATTTTTATTTATACAGGATGTCACCAGTGGGGCTCCGTACTATACATACTAATACTAATAATGAAACCGTTCTGTCACAGTGCTGTGATGCTAAGGCATTATCAGGAAATACTTAATAAATACGATACACTAAGTCATAATTATAATAATATCATTTTAATGGATAGTAGATGATAATTATGAAATCATGAGTCATAATGATGAGATATATCTCATTATTATGACAAAATAAGTCATAATTATGATATACACCAATCAGGCATAACATAATGACCACCTTCTTGTTTCTACGCTCATTGTCCATTTTATCAGCTCCACTTACTATATAGGTGCACTTTGTAGTTCTACAGTTACAGACTGTAGTCCATCTGTTTCTCTGCATACTTTGTTAGCCCCCTTTTACCCTGTTCTTCAGTGGTCAGGACCCCCATGGACCCTCACAGAGCAGGTACTATTTGGGTGGTGGATCATTCTCAGCAGTGCAGTAACACTGACATGGTGGTGGTGTGTTAGTGTGTGTTGTGCTGGTATGAGTGGATCAGACACAGCAGGGCTGCTGGAGTTTTGCCTGATTGGTGTAGTATCTCATTAATATTTGATAGGAAGTCATAATTATGAGATATTAACTCCATATTATGAGACAGCAAGTCATAATTAATAGATGCCGGGTCATATATATGAGATACTAAGTCGTAATAACCTTGCTAAACAGCTATATACATTTTTCCAGTGGTGACTATAGTGACTCTATAATGTGGGACTCTTATCTTGTAACAAGTATTTATGTTAGTGTCAGATGGGCTGTTTTGCTCATGGAATGAAAATTCCAGTCTCAGATCACTGAGTGAAGGAGACAGTGGATCTGAAGCATATACTGATGCTGAACAACAGAGCTAGGCCAAAACTACTCCTGAGCAAAATGTGGCAAAATCTGAATTGTTATCAATTTGATGTTAAATTTGTTTTAAAACAGAATGTTGTCTATTAGAGCCACAGATAACTTCCGCTGCATGTGTTTCTCTTCGTTTTGCATATCTGCTTTCTCCTAGGACTACTTATTTCACACTGAACAAATCAGAGCAACATGACCTGCATGATTTAAACATGCAGAGGCACAATAGTGAAAAAATCTAGGCTGTTAGGACTCTGATAGTGACAGGAGAGACACTTGGAAAACTGTAGATGGTGTCGCTAAAAAAACACTATCTAAGTAAAAAGCTAATGACAAGCCTTTAACATTTAAAAGAGACATCCAGAATGTCATTTGTTGATTCATTGGTGGTGCATTGAAGTCACATCTGAGATTTAGAGAACAACCTACACCATACTCAAAAAAAAAACCCCATCTCTTACTTCAATTACAACTAAAAACGTCAGAAACAGGAACAGGAATACAATAGTATCAGGTCTGAAGCACTGAGTCATCTGTTAACTACAGTGGAACATCTTAGTGCGTCAAGCACCTCGAGGGAACAGGAATTCGCCAGTGCCCTCAGGTGAACTCAATCAAATGAAAGCTGAACCAGCCTTTATTACAGTGTGCAGCTCTGAGAGACCTGTACTTTTTGTAACTGAGTAAATGTAACTCGTTACTCGCGTGAATTATAGATTAGTACACCAGCGCTGCTGTGTACGACGGCGTTTTAGGGCCACTTTAATAAAAAATAAAAATAGTAAACTTTGAGAATAAAGTCGTAATACTTCGAGAAGAAAGTCGTAATATTGTAGTCAAAGCTTTGCAAAAGGAACGCAGCACCTCCTCGTGTTATAATGAGGGGCGGTGAGTTGGTGGAGTTTTCATATCGATTATGACCCATAAAGAAACACTCAGTCTCCCTGTCTCTCCTGCATATCAGCACCAGCCTGTTATTAGTATAAGAAACGGCTGAAACGGCCGAGCAGGAAACTGTGTTTATCTAGAATAAAGAGCCAGACGGACTCGGAGGAAACTGTCTGTCTGTGTTGTTGAAGGAGAATCTCAGGCAGGGTCGTCTACACGGCTATCGGGGGCTCCATCTCCCCCCATTCAAAGAGGGCATGAAGTTTCACAGACAGTGAGAATGATGATCAAAATGATCCACAGAGAGACAGAAGTGAGTGGAGCTCCAGCGCCAGGACAGCAACCAAGACCCCAACGCGTTATGGCAGCCCCCCTACAGTTAGCCCACTTGATCCTCCAAATATTACTTTATTCTCGAAATATTACGACTTTTTCCTCGAAATATTACGACTTTTTTCTCCAAATATTACGAGTTTTTTCTCGAAATATTACGACTTGTTTCTCCAAATATTACGAATTATTTCTCAAAATAATACGACTTATTTCTCAAAATATTACGACTTTTTTTCTCAAAAAATATTACGACTTTTTTTTCTCAAAATATTACGACTTTTCTTCTCGAAATATTACGATTTTCTCTCCAAATATTACGACTTTTTTCTCCAAATCTACTATTTTTATTTTTATTAACAGCGGCCCTGAATCGCTGTCGTAGCTGTGAAAGGTATTCGCGCTGTGCTGAAGTGAGAAGCCTAAGCTCTTCAGAGGACTTTCCCGTCGTCGTCTTACGCTTTTTGCAGACTCCTAAACTATCGTAAAACGCAGCTTGTGGTTCAGAAAGCGGAACGGCGCTCCCATCCATATACCGTACAGTTCTGTGAATCTGGCGCGGCGCGGCTCCCCTGAACGCAGCACTACGGCCCTGACGTCATCCGCGAGCGCCGCTGGGGTTTCGGCCGCTGGCCTCTGAAATGGGCACAAATCAGCAGCCCTGATTTCACCATTGATTTATTATATGGAGTCGCCGAAAGCCTGAAGCGTGAAGACGGGCCACACGATGACATGCGGGGGTAAGTCGGCGTGTGGAAAGCAGCTCGATACGAGCGGAAAAACGTGTCTCTGGGTGTTAAAGAGGCGGCTAGCCGTGTTAGCGGCGGGTGGCTAACGTTACGGCTGCCCTCGTTAAAGTCCAGGCAGGCAAATTGTTCATACTCTGCTTTTCAGTCGGATTAGTTGCGGCGGATGTTTCTATCAGGGCACTGGTTAATTTTATAGATGTGTTTTCGTGTGTAACTCGCTGGCGCTCGACTGTGGTTCGGAGGTTTTTGCATGTTTATGAGCGCCTAAGGTTTCCTGTGCAGTTTGCCATCTTGCTAGCTAACTAACCTAGCTCCGTCTCCGGGCTGAATGATGTCAAAGCCCGGATCAGCGACGCGGTTCTGACCAGGAGCTCCACTTTTAAAGTCTGTCGCTCTGAACGAGCTTTTACACAAATTCTGAGATTTTTTTTTTGGACAGCACCGCGTATTAAAATGACGCAAAACTCGCTCTCAGAATAAAACTAAGAACAAGACTCAGTCTTACGTTCATGTTGAATGATCAGGTTTCAGGTTTCAAGTTTATTTGTCGTTTGCACGACATGTCAGGACATTCATGCATTGAAATGATTGTGGTGAGGCTCAGGTGATCACTCTACAGAAAGTAAAATTTAAAATACAAGAAGAAACAAACAAATATATTAAATATACACAAAATATACTCAGCATATAGAGATAATATACATTTTAAAGTGACTGAGTGACTCAGTGTTATTGTTATTTAAAGTGACTTAGTGTTATTGTTCATAGCAGTGATATGATATAATAATAATAATAATAATAATATAATAATAATAATAATAATGTTGACAGAGTGACTGAGTGAAATGGTTACTGGTGAAGGACCCATAGCTTATTCAGAAGCCTGACAGCCTGTGGGTAACCGGGTTGTTCCAGCCTGGGTGCCGCGGAATCTCCCGCCTGATGTCAGGATGGTGAACAGGCCGTGTGCTGGGTGACGCTGTCTGACCGGATCTTTTTGATCTTCCTGAGGCAGCGGGACTGACAGATGTCCTGTAAGGCTAGTAGTTTGTAGCCTGTGATGGCTTCTGCCGTCCCCACCACTCCTTTAAGGGCCTTGCATCTCTTATTAGTGTTTGTATTCTGGTGGTAATTCTGTTTTGTGAGCGCTAAAGTGGCAGTTTTTATGTTTTTCACATTACAGTTTAGATTTGCCAAATCGTTTAGTCCCCAAACAGTTGAGTGTTGTTGAAATGGAGAATTGGTGTAACACAGTGGTAAATATTCTCCTGTCCCATTTTTTTGAGCATGTTGCAGACATTAAATTGAGCACATATTTACAGGAAAACAGTGTAGTTTATGAAGTAAACATAGAATATGGTGGTTTTTGTATCATGTTCAATTTAGTACAGGTCAAAATGATTGTATTAATCACTGCTTTTGGTTTTTATTAGCATTTTTACATACCGTCCCAACTTTTTGGGAATTGGGATTGTAATTACAATGTAGTCGACACTCCCTTACATGTTTTTTACATGTCTTTATCCAGCTTAGTCACGCATAACCAACATGATTCAAAAGGTTCTCCTGCCAAGCTGATCAAAATGAAACTTTAATCTTGTGAAATTTTGATTTCAAACGAAATCATTAGATGTACTGTAATGTCATGATGCTTCAGAACGTTTTCACAATACACGATGTGTCACAGTGTTTTTTTTTCCTAATAGTGCCACATTTTAAAAATACTATCAAAAACCGTGTGCAGAGATTGGTGATACGTAATGTCATGTAAAATGTAATGTCATGATGCTTCAGAACGTTTTCACAATACATGATGTGTCACAGTGTTTTTTTTTCTAGTAGTGCCACATTTTAAAAATACTATCAAAAACTATGAATCTAATTACTAGTATTCAACATTTCACACACTGTGCTGCCCTAAATCCAATAAACACAACGTGTAATGCTCTGATTCTAATCAAACGTGTGGTTGGAAAAGTGTTTTTAAGTACCGATGATATCCATGATGTGCTCGGAAAAGCGTGTTGCGATGTAATTTGTCACGGTAGCGATACATATTGTCACAGTGCTCAGCTCTGCTTGTAGGCCTGTTATGAGTAAATGTGTATGTATGTATAATGTTATAGTAACGTTTAATATAGTTGTGGGTGTATATTTACACTAAATACAACTGAATTAAATACGATGGCAGGCTGTATAGTTTAAAAAAGACATAGCATATCTGATATTCTTTAACATTTTATCATATTTCTAAATTTGCTCATTATCGTTAGGTGCAAATTACACAGCTGACAGATTTCACCAACATACAATCTGATTAAATACTATAGCAGGCTTTACACTGGCAAAGCTTATCTGATCTTGTCTAACGTTTTGCTTGAGTAACTTACATATTTCCCAACTGGAGGTTCTTAGAACAGAATACAAATGCTGCTTGGGTACTGAGAAAGTCAGACAGCAGGCACTGCACCAACCCTCTTGCGCGTGTATCTTTAAAGATGCATTTAATTCGTATGTTGATTAAACCTATGATCAGAAAAACATCATGTGCATGCATTGCACGCCCAGTTCCATGATGGCATGGTGCTCAATCTTTGTGATTTAAAGCTAAGTAAATATAACCTGGGAGACAATGGTTTTCTAAAGCTTGTCAATAAATAATGATATTAAGTTTAATGTAGTTGCATCTGAATGATGCTCTGTGCAGTCAGTAGTGAGAAAAAGCTATTAAAAGCTAAGTTGCTGCAACCTTTATAATCATGACTTTGTTATAACTATGATTATGATATTATTTATTATTATTATTGTTACTAAAACTTGCTAGTCCACATTCTCTACTTGTAAACTACAGTAGCGAATGTGGTCCACTAATCTAGATTCGACAGTCACAGTGTGTGTTCTTGTTTAGGTAAAGTGATGGAAGAGGTCAGCGGGCAGTTCTCAGAGCTGATTCCAGTGGTGCTGCCTGTGTGGCTGTCAGGCCTTGCCACATCCACTGCTCACTAACATCGCCTATACCGAGTCTGGACCGCCATGAAGCCAGCCCACGAGCGCAACCAGGAGTGCCTCCCTCCAAAGAAGCGGGACCTTCCAGTCAACAATGCCGCCACCGCCACACCCAACAACAACAACAACAGTAGCAGCAGCAGCAGTAGTGCAGGAGGCAGTGGGGTTGGAGGAGGAGGAGGAGGAGGAGGTGGTGGCGGTGGAGGAGAGGAAACCCCGTCCTCGCAAAGCTCTGGATCTAGTGGAGAACCCCAGGGTGGTGGAGGGAGTGGTGAGTGGGTGCGGACTCACCCTAGTCTGCCCTATGGCGCTGAGGGGCCAGACAGCCTAGCCGGGCTACCGGTGGATCAGTACAGCATGCTCTACAAAGTAGCTCTCCCTTCTGTCAGCTACTCTCCAACCAGCCTACACCCTGTGCACATTTCTCCTGCCTACACGGTTCCACCCCCACTCCTGCAGCACCCCGGCATCCCCTACTCTCCTCTCGGGTACACACAGATCCCTCACTCCTCCTTACAGTTTGTTAGTTCCCATTACGCTGCCGCTGTTCCTTACGCGGTGCCACCGGGGTTTGTTCCCAGCCCCTTGATATCACCACAGTCTGCACTTCCCCAGCCACACCCAGTCTCCCACCTTGTCCCTTATCCGTCAGTCATTCAAGAAGGCATGGTCTCATCACCCCCCCAGCAGCAGGTGTCGACCCATGCATACGCTAAAGTGGCAGCGCCCGGAGGCGTCCCAATGGTGCTGTCCTCCGAGCAGGCTGCAGCTCAGCAGCAGCTCAGCGCAGTAGGGATGTTGCCGGCGGCGGAGCTCAGTCCGAGGGGAGTGCCCGTCTTCTTTCACCCTTCTGGCAGTGCCAGGTCTGTCCAACCTCAGAGGGAGGAGCAAGAGAGGGAGGTGAATGGAGGGGAGAGGGAACATGGAGGCAGGGAGCCGCACCAAGACACGGTTTACGCTGTCAGGAACGCACGGCCGCATCAAGCAGCGCCCGGAGCAGCTGCACTGGAGCCCCAGCAGGACAGGAGCCTGAAGATCTTCAGGCATGAGGGAAGAGCTTCGCCTGGTCAGCGCAGCACACCAGACACGGACCTAGAGGTAAGAATAAGTTCTTTCTTAAATGTTTTCAATTTTTCAAATATTTTGGGCATTAAAATTAGTAAAAGGTTGTATGTACGTTTGGATTTCTTATTTATTTTTTGCCGTTAGCCATAGGGTTCTGCATGCAGACTGTCAAGTAAAAAATAGTGTGTTATTTTGATTGAGATATTTACTGACTATTTCTGATTTTAGTTGGGCAAGACTAAAATGGAAAGGTCAATCAATCAGCATTAGGGAGGATTTTTGACCACTGATGTTACTGCTTGACACATCTGTGGATTTTTTTCTAGCTTTTAACTCCATTTGAATTCTGATTTGAGTGGAAGCCGTATGTGAACAATGTCCAGAAACGCTGCCACCTTCTCTGTGCTAAAGATCCTCTGAAATGGACTAATGCACAGTGGAAATGTCTCTCCTGTCATGGTTTGGGGGTGGTGTCTGTGGGTAATTGGTGCGCATGTGGTGGCATCATTAACTCTGACCACATTTTGGAGCAACATATGCTGCCTTCTAGACAACGTCTGATACAGACATTAAATTGAGCACATATTTACGAAAAACTAATGAAGTTTATTGTAAACATAGAATATAGTGGTTTTGGTATCATGTTAAATTTAGTACAGGTCAAAATGATTGTATTAATCACTGCTTTAGGTTTTTATTAGCATATTTTCACATACTTTCACAACTTTTTTGGAATTTGGATTGTAATTGCAATGTAGTTGACACTCCCTTAAATGTTTTTGCAAGCTTTGAATGTCTTTAACCAGCTTAGTCACTCATAACCAACATGATTCAAAAGGTTTTCCTGCCAAGCTGATCAAAATGAAACGTGGTAGTACATGTTGTCATTTGTGAAGAAATGGGTAATTGGATGACTTTCTGTGTTACAGTAAGAAGTCCAGTGTGCCGTATTGAATAGTGCAACATTATCTAAGGTCTAATTTTTACAGAATTTTGATGGGATCCATTTGTAACACGATCATTCACACGGTGTTGAAATTATAGAGTATACTAACCCAGTATTAACTACTTACCTACTTAATATTTATGATTTATTTGTGATATTAGATTTATTAGCATTATTGTGATATCTTGGATCCTTTTACCTCAAGTATTCTAACACTTGTTTTGCCTTATTTCTTTAAATCCGCATTACACCATGTGTTCTACTCCACTTCCTTCCTTAATTAGCTGTAGTTTGGGTGTGTTAGCGATTGAGCAATGAGCAGTCAGACGGTTACTTCTTAGAAATTGCCAGAGATTGTTTTTTTGATTTATTGTGAGTACACGCTGTCATGGGGGAATCAGATAATGGTAGTAAATTACAGGAGATGGATCATAAATCAGTTTGTAAAATAGGATTTGATGATATTTATGTTTTTAAGCATGCCTTTGTATGTTCCTTAAAGAAAAAGAAGCTTTTTTCTGATGAAAGGCACCTCAAAATGATAATGATAACTTAAACAGTGCTTGTTTTACTACAGGTGCAGCAGGTAGTTGGGCGGTTAGCCTCACCGGTCCATGGGAGTCGTAGGGAGACCATGCATGGCCTGTCCCAGAATTCACAGAGGAACAGAGAAGTTCAGGGGGAGGGCACGACTGTGTATGCCCCACACCCTGCTGTCCAGCAAGACCCTAGAGCCCCACCTCATCAGCAACAGACAGTACAGCCTGGCCATGCTGTGATCTTGGCAAACGGGCAGCCGGTTCTTGTGCCCCTGGATTATCATCACCATCAGCAGCAACAGCTGCAGCAGCAGCAGCCGCAGCCGCAGCACTACCCAGGGCAGCCTAATGATGCCGCAGCCACTGCGGCCTCTCCTCTGTCGCACCACAAAGCCTCAGATGCTGCAGCCACGGTGGGCCTGCCGGAGCGGCAGGTGGTGGAACTGCCTACCCAGCAGCCTGCAGTCAGTGCAGTGACCCAGACTCTCCCACCACCACCACCCGTTGCGCCCACCGGCCCCTCACACTTCATGAAGGGGGCTATCATTCAGCTGGCTACGGGGGAGCTGAAACGTGTGGAGGACCTGCAGACTCAGGACTTTGTTCGTAGCGCTGAGATGAGCGGAGGACTGAAGATCGACTCGAGCATGGTGGTGGACATCCGAGCCAGCCAGCAGCGACCAGGCCTTGTGTCGCTGCACTTCACGGTTGGAGAGCAGCAGAGCAAAGTGACCATTGACGTGCCCCCGGAACACCCTTTCTTCGTCTTCGGCCAGGGCTGGTCGTCCTGCAGCCCTGAACGGACAGCCCAGCTCTACGGCCTCACCTGCCACCATCTGCAAGTGGGTGACGTTTGCGTGTCCATCACTCTGCAGCAGCAGCCTGCACCCCAGCAGAAGCCACCGCCGCCGTCGCAGCAGCAGCAGCCAATACATGCTAGGACTTCCACCAAAGCCAACTCCACATCAGGGGCCTCCTCCTCGCAGCCCATGGGGCCTCCGGCTCCTCAGCATATCCGGCCTCAGAGCCAGTTCAAGATGGAGCGCATCCAGAGGGAAAAGGACAGAGAGAGGGCGGACAAGGAGGAGCCCATGACAGTTGGGGCTTTGGGACACAGCAACATTCACCCCAGGCCGAACAGGACTTCGGTGGAGCACACGCGAAGCCAGAGCAGTTACTATTTGCACACCGAGGGGCAGCACGCCCGGGCTGGGGTGGCACTGGCCGCCTCTTCGGCGGGGGCATCCCAGAGGCGCTGGTCTGCCCCCGGCTTCCAAAGATACGCCATCAAGAGCGAGGAGGGGGGCCGAGCCCCGGCCGCCGCCCCAGGCTCCGCTCGTCCCTCTTTCATCCCTCAGGAGGTCAAACTGTCCATCGAGGGGCGCTCCAATGCCGGGAAGTAGCAACAGCCGTGGCAAGAGACACAATAGCGAGAGGTTTTTGGCGGGAGGAAAGTGTCAAATAATGGGAAGATGAGAAAGAAGGAACAGGAGAGAGAATGTAGCCTCAGAATGTTTTGAGATTTTGCACACATCAGAAGATTACATCCCTTTTTCTTTTTTCTTAGTTGTTCCAGGCTTGAGGGAGAGCACTTGGTCTAGTTAGTGCCAGTTCACTGCCATCAGTAGCGATGGCGAGACCGAACATCTGCACTGGCTGCTTTAGCTGGTAAATCATCTACCAAAGCCTTCACAGTCTGCGTTCCTATTTTGCGGATAAAATATCGTTACGTTCGGCAGCGATCACTTTCACAGAGATGTCTCGCGGCTCTTTGAATAAATGTTTATTGAAGGAAGGTTTGTGGAGTAAGAATGGGATGCAGCCATAGGATCTTTGCAATCCTGCCTGTTTTTTATCCCATATATATATATATATATATATATACATATACATATATAAATAGAGATATATAGATATATATTAAAAAGATCTCCTACTTGATAGATTGTTTGGACACCTGAAGGCTCTCTCTCATCTTGACAAATTCCCCTGTTGCTTTACTGAGCTCTTGCTTTGACTGAGACTTCAAAAATGTCTTAAATTTTTTTTTTTTGTTTTTTGTATCTCTTTTCACGAGGCACGTCGTTCTCACGTGACTACGCTTTGGCCCCTGTCCCTGAATCTTATCAGGGCGGCTCTGCTGAAGGGGGTGTCGTTATTAGTTTGAGAGCGATTGCCTGATGTCGCTTCCTCAATCAACCAACCAACCAACAATCAATATCTAGGAACGGCCGAAAGATTAGATATGGGCCCAGTTGTATCACAGTCACGTTTACACTGTCCACAGTATCATGCTCTACCTGTGCCACGTTTTTTTGTGTGTGCGAGTGTGTGTTGCGTGTATGTGTTTGTTTTTTGTTAAATTAGTATTAAGTTTTCAATCAGCATTCCAGTTTCACGTTGACTTCCCGGCATCAGTGAGTAGAAAACGTTTGTTCCCCCACAGCGACCTGCCTAAGAAAACCGCCTCTCTATAGTACCTCACGGCCAGAAGTTCCTCAGTCTGGCCGTTGACTGTTGATCATTTTGTCATATCTTTGTCCTGGAGACAATGTCTGGTGTCCACCAAAGTCATCACCACTATCCAAGCTAAGACCAAACGTGGTGCAGGTTCTGGCTGCTGGCGACTGGCCTATTCTTGTGGAACCGCAGTGGTCACTATGAGCGTGCAGGAGCACTCCCCATGGAAAGCCCTCAGCCAGTAGTAAGGAATCCCCACCGTTGGGTTCAGGCAAACCCTGCTCAGTAACCAAAATCGAAGCAATAGTCCTGGCTTGTTTGTATTTCCCATGTTACAGATTTAATGTTACAGATTTAATGTATACAACAGCTGCAGTCTGTATGAAGAACCTTGACTCAGACCTTCCCTGCTCGTTCCATACTGATGCACCATGTTATTTTTACTGTCTTGAGTTCTGTATTTTTTTTCTAACCAATATTTTAACAGTTACTATGTAGGTTTTCAGTCTCGTAGGTCATGTAGTTGACCTTTCGAAGCGGCGCGTTTGTTTTCATAAGATGGATCTCGGTGGTGATACGGACGTCCGTTTTCACCGCTGGTGTTGTAGATCCCAGTTATCTAAGCACACCTCCTAGAGAGGCTTGATTTCACTTCTGTGCAGGGGTTTTAGTCCTCTTTTCCTTGCTTTTTCTAATACTTTTGTACAGTGTAGGTTTCTTTCTCTGTCCTTGGCAATATTACTCTTGAGTGATTTTCTCAGAACTGTCTTGTAATTGCACATAAAGAAGTTCATAGTTGATTCACACTGACCTTTTAATTGGAATCAGATATTTACGTTAGTTTTTTTTAATGAAGGGAAAACTTTGTGTAGTTTCAAAATGAGGTTTTTCTTTTTGGGGGTGGGGTTTTGGGGGGGGGGTGGCGGGATTGTGAGAAACTGACAGGCGTGGTTGACACTGTTTACAAATTAGCCAAGAGAAAATGCTGCAGCATCATTTTACATACACTGATTTAGTTACTGAACAAATTCAAATGGATGACAAATGAAGATTAAGTGCAATTAGACCAAGTGTTTTAAAGAAAAAATGGTTTTATTTGAAAAGGCATTCCAAATAAGAGCCTGACATTCCCATTATCGTAAAATCATGAAAATCGTGAGATTCCGAATGTTTTAAGCGTTTCAGTCCATTTGCTCACGTCATTCTGATCCTCATTAGATGAGAAATGTGTTTATGTAAAATGACCTCTGATATTTGTACTGTTATGCATTCGCAAAAGCAGAGTAGTACCTTTTGGGCCAGGATTACTTTTCATCGTTAATGGTGTTTTTTTTTTCTTCTTCTTTTTTTTAATATTCTCTTTTTCTGTTCAACCTAATAAGCTTTAAATGGATTTAAAGGAAGAATAATATTTATTTAGGTTGATGGATTTTTTTTTTGTGTGTGTGTAGCTCTCACATCTGACCAATGATGACAATGTTCTGCAGGTAGCATTAACTTCTACCACTAATATTCATATGTAGACTGGCTGGTGGTTTGACCTCATTGGTAACATCTGACTGGCATAATGATCACATGATTTTTTACCAATTCTGAAAAGTTTTTTTTTTTTTTTAATTATCATTTTTGTATCCAGTAACTGATCAATGATCATCGCCAGTGTCCCATGGGCTCTAACTCGATTATCATTTGTGCTTTTGAAGCATATTCGCAATTGTATTTTCTCAAGTGGTCTTGTGTTTCAAGTAATTCAGCCGTGTGATGTAGGGTGACCTTTGCTGGTTTGCGCAGAGATGCGTCCCATGGTTTGATAGAGCCCCACTTTTGTGCTATTTATATGTTCGAGTCTCAGAACTAGTTCAGGTTCTCCCTTTCGTGTCCTTTCTATCCCCTGACGCCGCCTCTGTCTTGTTTGCATGGACAGCCGACCAGCCAGGGCTGTCCAGAGGGGCAATGGCGGTCCATTACGGCTGGCCTGGACAGACAGCAATCCTAGAATCTCATTCCTTTGCGGGCGGGATGGATCCGCTCTGCAATGTGACCAAATCGTATTCAAGGATGTGCAGTACATTTTAGGTAGGTCATTCTACTCAGATGAACGGTAGACCTGTATTTTTTTTTTTTCTTTTCAGTTTTTTAAGTATGACGTTCCTTTGAGACAAGCAATACCCTTAAACACAGAATACCTGAACGATGTACAGTTTCAGCATGTGCTATGCAGTAAACGCTCCAATCTAGCTCTCGCACCAGTGTCCTTGTTTACCCACTAAGCAATTGGACTTATTCTTTTGTATTATACACACTATCAGCTTATGCAGTCCATCTCAAAGTTGATGCCCCTCTTCATGTTTATCTGTTTTCCCCCCTCTAAACTTGATGTAGCCATCTTTTAAGGGGGTTCCTCAAGTTAGTGTTGCGTTCTTAGTACAGTAATCCACGTTGCCAGTTACCTCCTCCTGTTACCAGTCGGCGAGATATGTTGCTACGACGTCACGTCACTTGAAGTTGATTTCATGTCATTTGTTGTGTTGCTTCATTACTGTATGTTGGAGTGTTTGGACCGACGCCCTCACCGTTCCATGTCTTCTCAAATGCACTGCCTTACCGGCCGTCTCTGGCATCTCCGGCCTGTCGGCTCCGGGACGAAGACGGGCCGCGTATGACGCTTTGAACGAGGGCCGAGCTTTGATCCTGTGCACTGTAACCGAGAAGAGTTGATGCTATGTTTGTGCCTTTCCCCACCGTCTCATCTCGTCCGTCTTCGATTACGACGCTCGATCCTTACTTGTAGTCTGTGTGCAATTCCTCTGGTCTGCTCTCACATGCTATTACAATCCATCTGAACGGTCACTTCCCTTTGATGATCCACCAAGGTGGTTCCTCTCCATTGCTTAATCGCATCAGACACACTCATCCTACGCTAGGGTTGCTCTCCCACCTCATGAGGATGGTTCATGGCCTGGAACATGTGTCCGCTCCTACCTGACATCTCACCAAATCACCCGCTATAATATCCCTATCCCTTTTAAACAAAATGAAAGATGTCTTGCACTTATCCCCCTCCACGTCGGTTACGTGGTAACCTCTAATATTGAATTATATGCGAAACCATGTTAAAACAATCATCCGACACTTGTGTATATGTTTGTGTAGATAGAAGATAAAAGTAAGGTTTCTATATTATCAAGCTTGTCAATAACGCCTTAAGAAGTGCATCATTCATTGTCCATAGAATGACGCTTACGGGTGACTCACCTACTCTCTCCTCACTCTGGCTAATCATTTCATGCTGAGGCAACGTCTCCATAGTCACCCGTTTTGATTTGGGCGGAAAGCTGTATCGCAGCTTTTTTTTTTTTTTAAGTCGTCCCTGACTCTCCTCTGTAAAGGATTTAAAGTTGGATGGCATTTAATTTTGTTCAGTAACAATTAGTTGAAGTCGCACTCACTGATTGTACCATGGTCTATTTGGCTGGCTCACAGTGTGTATCTGTAACGTACGCAATGCGAGCTCTTATATGAAGTGTACATTTTTTTGAATGTTGTAGCTGATTCGTTTTGATCTCATCCAAAGGCAAAGTAAAGAACCTGCTCTGCTCGGCTGTGTGAACAGGAGGATTTCGGCAGGGCCTTTCTGACAAGCATTTGCCCCCATTTAACCTCAACATTGGGTATGAATCATAGAAAATGCTTGGCGGAAAACGTCCCGTTGGATAGTTCTGTTGAAAAGGAGGAGAGGTCCCCTCATGCGTGGTCGATACGTGAGAGCAGGTCAGTGGAGGCGGTGGATTGCGTCCAGTGCCCACAGCAAACTGTGCCGACTGTATGCTGGGGGTGGATGAATGTTCACGTTCTGAATCAGCGACAGTTCTCTTATTAATAATATCACTATCACTTGTAAGATTGATTTCGTGACTTTTTATGAGAGGCTTTATGATCGTTCCACAGTCCACAGGTCATGATACATCTCGTTCTTTTTATATGGAACCCCGGACCGAACGTGGCATGGTTGCAGGCCAGAGTAGGTAATAGAGATTGACCACGAGGAGAAAGTTGTAACGGTTTAAAATTTTCAAAGGAGTAATTATGTACTTTCAAGTTTGACATTGTACTTTTTTGGCACTAAGTGACACTGCTTTTTATGTGACGTGTGACCAGTTTTAAAAAGAAACAGCATCTTTCTTTAAATGCATAAAAGATCTGCAAAATATATGCAATGACGTGTATGTAATATTCAATCCTCAAGTATAATCCAGGTTGTATGAACTTTGTATAGTGAGTTTTAATATTGTATGGCCGTACCAATATGTATTAATTCTTATCAGAAGCCTTAGAGTTGTCTACCCAAAGTGCTCCCTTAGACTACCCTACACCTACCTGAACTTTACAAAGCATTAATAACTATATTTTGTTGCGTTTTTATTTGTACCCTTTTTGAATAAAATAGATTTGTACTGTATATTTGTACCTCTCTGTGAACTACTTAGGGCTGTTTTGTTCTCTTTTTGTTTTGCTGTTTTAATTCTATGTAAGGACACAAAGATATTGTATTTTTATTGTTACAGCTAACTTCTTGGAAACATTGCATTTATCATGTTTGTTAAGTAAACACAATATAATATATATAATATTACCAAAGTGTCGTGGCTCGTTTTCTTATTTATTTGACCATGTGAACTCATATTTCTAGTCATTTTAAAGGATAAACAGGACACATTTGCACCATCAAAAATTCATGATGGGGTGTACAATGGTGTATTCTTGGGTCTGCCCTTCTCACACCCTTGAGCTGGATCAGGGACAAGTCAGCATTGTGTGGGCTATGGAGTTCTCCATGGTTCTGTCTGGCTGTTTGGAAGAATAGAGGGCCCTTTGTGAGGAACTGGCAGCAGGTCATTTAGGAGCAAAGAGCTGTGTTTACGGAACCAACGGGACAGAAATGGAGACTGACACCCTCTTAGTTAGGTTAACATTTATTCCACATTCTACTCCAGGTTTCATCACGATCTTTTGATCTGTTATTCCAGTAACAGAGAATGGCTTTCTGAAAGGAGCGTTCGGAAGTGTGACGACAGTGTTCTCCTGTTCCGTCTCATTCGTTTTGGCCTTTGTAGACATCTGTAAACATAGTAAAAGAGTGTCCTGATAGACTAACAAAAAAAAGGCAATTTGTCATTAGGTCCCTCTCTCGTAGATCAATCAGAACAGAACCAAGCAAGCATACGATAAAAGAACACAAGCTCGTAAAACATCTAGAACATGTAGCATACAACATGCAGGATTCGGCTAAAGCAGTCCCCATCAAGCTTCACAAAGCTCGTCTGAAGTGGACATCAACTGTCAATAAAACCTACTTTCTTAATGCATAAAATGTCAACATGGCAACGCGCACCCCGCTTGCTTCGTGACTAAACTCTAAACTTCCTTTTGAAAATACATTTGGGCTTGTATTCGCAAAGCTCACACCAGAGTAGAGCAGGAGCCGTGATTTTGGCTCCTTCTGTGGCCAAGATGGCGAGGAATCTGATCCTAGATCCACCTTCTGCTCTAAATCGTTTTTGTGAAGACCCGTCCTGAGTGTAGTATGTTTCTAAACAGCTGAGCCCCATGAGATCCTGCTCTGATGTGCAGACGCCTTACATGCCGCCATACTGTACGACGGAGACCGTGGAGCCTGTTGCATTAAATATGGGCTGCATTCCCTGAAGCGTCGATATTATCAGATTCTTTTTCAGTCGTACTCTGGGGAGCCAAATGCCAAAAAAGCTATAGTCCAGGACCAGCTTTCATCTCAAAGTAAGAGGGCTGATCTAGGACCAGGCTGCTCCGCTGTTTACAGAGGTCTTAATCCCGAAAAAACACTTTCTAGATCAGCGCTCATACTGCGAGATGCTTTGCAAGCACCAGCCCTGGCTCTCTAGAATTGCCTGAGTTGTGTGGTCTGCTGCATTAGAGTCCATTTCCTTTCAAATCATCTGCATAGTAATAATAGAAAGTGTCAAATACAGTTGGTGAGAACAGATCTTTGCATAGTGATTCGAGCCACTCGTGAGAGCTGTATTTCACACTACATACGTGTTTTCCCCTTCGAAAACACACAGGAACGGCTCAAAACATGAAACCTGTGTCCAGCATCCACATCACATTGCCATTTAAGTCCCGCAGAGCTAATCCGTTTAACGCTGAAGAGGTATTATTAAAGATAACGTGGAACAAAATAAAGTTCTTTGTAAACCTCTATGTTGAGTGGCAAGTCAGTCATATCAACAATAAATAACTGGAATGAACTGGAATGGAATAAAACAAATCATACAGTAAAGTACAATCTAATAGCTTACCCTGTTTTTCGAGAGGTACTCACTGACGTGCAACGCACATCACTGAAAGGATGCCACAAGACTATTCTGTGCTAAGTGAAGCGCTGAGAATTGGGGTCTAAACTTGTGTAAAACTAGTGTAAACAGTATTTAATAAATATGAACGCTCAATTATTACGATTATTTACCTTCTACAGCATCTACAGTTTCCAATAAACTGCCCGTCAAAAACAAATGTGCTCAATGCCTCAGACTGGAAAGGTTCACCACTCGTCCTGTCCTGTGACATATGCATTCAATCGGATTGTTTCATCTTTCATGCAGCCTATTTTGTTTTCCCTTTTACACAATAGTATATCTTATAAACAGAACTTACTGGAACTAAAAAATATCATACCTGTCTTGATATAAAACCATAACACAAAACAACTTTCCAGTGACAAAGGCAACATTATCATTCATTTGTACACGCCTCGACTGTAACGGCTAGCGTCGTGAGGTGCCGGGCCTCACCGGTATAAGAGAGGTAATGAACATATTATACAGTACAGTGACAACAGCAGAGGAAGAGACTGAGTTGGTCGCGACTGGTCAAGCGCTCAAAAAAACACCCTTACTGATATCCTGGCTCAGCTGAGGAGTTTGCAGTGTGAATGATGTGCAAAAATTGAAGGAAAAAAGGAGGTCAATGTGACCGGTAAGATAGAACAGTGAGCGAGTGGGTCGTTCTCAGGCCGGGAGGACGACCGGTGGCCCTCGACATCCCTGAGCGCCTGGACGAGAGTGAACCCGTGTTGTTACGTAGATTAGCACGGCGGCTTTAGGAGGTCTGGAGTGACTAGAGTGTAGCACGAGCCAGGGGATTTCAGCATGAACCTATTTGTTTCTGCTCAATCACTTAGAAGCGCTATATGATAACAGTCAACCTTTCTTCTTGTCTTTGATCGCTCACAGTATTTAAGAAACAGTGGTGTTTGACTATGGGCAGATAAAGTGTAATAGAGTGTGTTCAAGTGTGAGTTGGCATGATGAACATGTAGTCCATGTATGAGCCCGCATAGCCTGGCTGGGCACCGAGAAGGCCTGAGGTGAGGTAGTTGTATCCGTGGATTTGAGCTAGCCAGTGACACGCTCCGGTAGGGGGAGGGAGTTGTAACTACAGGTAAACTCCAGTCGTCGGACTGGCAGACTGCATCAGTGGGCTGAATCGGGATGCGGCTACAAGTCTCCCTCCCTTCACTGTAGTTCCTTGTGCAAATAGTAGAGGCCCTCCTTTGCGGAAGTGTTTTACTGCTCTGAGGGTTAGATCTGTAGGATGTAGGCCCTGAAAATGGAACAAGAAAAAATCTCCATATAACATGCTTGTTCATAACGCAGGAAAATGAAACATTCTTTACCCTGCTGTTAACTTTAGACTTTTCTTATGTAAATAAGCGTACAGTCTATTTTAATGACAGTCTTGGAAACCTTGGACTATAACGCTTCCGAAGCGGTCCTACATTTGGAAAGGTTTCGCTTGGTTCAAGGAGAATTTGAAAACAGAGCCCCCAAACAGAGAAGCCTTTTGCAAAAAACATTTGTCCAACTAGGGTAGCTTCATAAACAGCCCATTGTCCATGGAGGAAACGGGCATGGGGAAGGGGAACTGGAACAGGTTCATGTCGGCAGTGAGGGCAGCCATGGCGGCTGGGTCATGCTCGATCTGTGTGCGCAGCGATGGGTCGATCTTCTCCAGCCTCCGTTTGATCCGCTTCGCCTCTCTCTCGCGCACCAGTCGCGCCTGCCTCTTCTCAGGTGTCTCGTTAGCCCGTTTGAGTCGCATGGCCTCGCGGTCTCTCTGCAGCCTTCGTGCCCGCTGCTCATCTGTCTCCTGCATGCGCTGCATGCGTTTGGCCTCGCGGTCCCGCAGCCGCCGCAGCTCACGCTCCTCGGGTGTCTCGCATGCTCGCTTTGTCTTCTTGGCCATACGCTCACGCTCCAACCGCTGCAGCCGGGCCTCGGTGGGCTCGTTCCTGCGCCGTGCCGCCCACTTCCTCATGGAGGGCGACTGGCTGCCCACCAGCTGCTGGTAGGCCACACAGCTGTTGCACACCAGCAGCACCCCGGCTGGGTACACAGGCATTGGGCTGAGGAGGTCGGGTAAAGGTGGGAGGCTGGGGGAGGGGCTGAGGGCATCAGGAAGTGAGGGAAGAGAGGGGCCTGACGAGAGGAGGCTGTCTTGAAGCGAGGGCAACGCAGAGCCGGTGTTGGGGCCGTGACTGGGGCCTTGGTTGGGGCCATGAGCAGGGACATGGTTGGGGCCATGGTTGGGGGCGTGGTTGGGAATGGGGCCAGCAGACAGAGGCTGGGACATGGAGCAGGCCTCGTCTCCACTGCTGCTCTCCATGCCACTGGAACTGAGGAACTCTTTCAGCTTTTCCCTGCAATATGGAAACAGGACAAGTCAAGAGCATGTAAGAGGTCTCTAGTGGTCTTTCAATTTTAATACAGGGTGATTCAAAAAGATTCCTCCGATTTCAAAGCACCATATTTTTACAACCGTGAGGCGCCTAGGAACCAATCACAATCCAATTGAAAGAGGGGGTCATAGAGTTTCTGACTGTCACCGGAAGATGGTTCCCTTCAGTCTGAGAGGAGATGAGACCCCTGAGCAGAAAGCGTTCTGCGTTCTCCACTTCAATAAGAGTGAATCCGTCATAACTGTGCAGTGTGATTTTTGTGGGCAGTGAAGCTCCAACAGCTCAGAGCGTTCATCGTTGGTTCCACAACACTGGATGATCTCCGAAATCGCACTGAAAGAGCCGTGAGTGCAGCGACACCCGACACGCTCAATCCAGTATGGGATGAGTTTGACTATGGTGTTGATGTTGTCCGTACAGCTGGAGGAGGTTCATACTGAGCACTTGTACAATTACATAATAAACTTTATGCTTCTTAAACCATTTACAGTTTACTGCAAATAAAAGTCAAATAAATTATTTTGAAATCGGATGAATCTTTTTGAATCACGCTGTTTTATAATTCGATTAGATTTTTTTTATTTTGTTTTTCCTTTTGTTTTACTCTTGTTAGCCTTGGATTCCAAGCGATATAATATCGCTAGCTTCAGCCCTCCATCTTCAGGGATTAAAGCACGCAAAGGCGAGCCGGTTTGCATTATGAATTATACAGCTATAGGAACGCTGTCTAAATCCTAAACCTTTAAGCCTTTAACAGCATCGCCATAGCTGGAAGTTTCTTGGTTTGCATGCTTTACTAATTAGCCATCACAAACAGACTGCTTATCATTTCTGCACTCTGCTGCTCACTGTCTAAACAGCACAAAAAATAAAGTTCTTATGTATTTTGCCTCTTCTTGCTCAATTTCTAGATCTATTTATCGTTTAAATTCAAGATTGATTATTTTTGTTGTCATGTAATTTCTCAGAACCCATTCCATTTCTCAATGGTGTACTTTTCCACATCCATCGTCCATTTTCTGTCCCCTCTGAACGTTTGCTGGATATCAGCAATAGTAAAAGCATTTATAGTCAGACTGTATGACTGGAAATGTGCATTATGGATGTGTGAACCATCTCCTTCTTTCTCCAACCCTGTAGCTTTCCTGAAAACATGCCGATTCACACTTGTGAAATGATGACTCATGCCCTCACATGTAAGCGTGGTTCACAGACCTGTTGAAGTTGCTGGTGTCAGTGAAGCGAGCTCCACACACCGCACAGTTGGACAGCCGGTCGTCTGAATGAATGAGGAGGTGGCGTCCGAGGGAGCCTGGCGAGCTGAGAGCACGTCCACACACTGGACACACATAACTCTTACTGCTGCCCACTGCTGACGTGTGCTGGTCAGTAAAAGAAAAGACAGGAGTTCATTCAGTCCGATTCAAACTAGGAACAGGAGAAGAACATTCTGAGAAGCTACAGGGTTTCAGGGAAGTCTCAGGGTGTAATACTTCCACAGAATGTGGAGGAATATCATGTCTTACAACACTGATTAAAAATAAAAGGGTCAACTACTACATTAACCACAAACCCTTTATTGGATCAAAATAGCACCCTCTGCTTTGCGCTTAACACATGTGTACAAGCGAGCTGCTTCAGGTGGGTTTAAGAGGCGATTAGCCTCTGCTGGCTTATTAGAGCCCCTAACCGGACTCAAAGAGGCTTTGGTGGTGGTGTCCTCACCTGGTAGACGTGTGCAATGAGCTGCTCTGGGCTGCTGAACTCCAGGGTGCAGAGGGGACATATATAATTGCTCCCCAGGTCTGTCCCCCCCTCGCTCTCCTAATGGACACAATGTACCACACAGGGAGGGCATTAGGGACACATCCCAGAGTTACAGTAAAGACTCAAGCCTGACAATAAGAGCAGTGAGATTAGCCGCATGGAGTGGGTGCCGTGCAGGAGGAGGCATGTGTGGGATATGTCAGTTGAAGATGCCTCAGTAGTAACATGTTCCCAGTGTATGACTCTACACACTATCTGTGCTCTTGGCCACTGTAGCTGCCAACGACTATGAGGAGGCATTAGCGTGGCATATGAGCGTATCCCACAAGTCTGCATTAGTCACCCCGACTGTCATGGTGACACTTTGTACTGCGTTGCTATAGAGCTATGAATCACTCTTCAGAAATAACCACAGAGACACGTTTCCTGCTACGCACAAGAGCTCTGTGACGAAGACATAGAAAGCACTGATTTGATACGTTACAAAAACTTTGATTCGTTCTGTGTTTTAGCAGTCAGTCTTATTTTATTGTCTCTTTTGAAATGGTTAATAAGCTGCACATTAAATTCAAGCAGAAAAGAAATCAGCATCCAAAGGTATTTCAGTGTGGGAGGAAGGATGTGAGATGAATCAGCTGTCTAGACTTTTCATTTACATTTAGTGCTGAAGCGGATGCTTTTGCTCAAAGCAGGTCACATAAGCCAGTTGTTTTTAATGACTTTCTATGGGCATCAAGACTAGACTCATTCTCAGAGGTTATGAGGCTCATTTCATAACAGACAGGCTCACCTCCTTCACGTCTCCACCGTGAACCGAACACTGGCTGCCCTTACTCGTCATGTTGTCGTCGGCTGAGGAGCTGGAGGAGTTCTCTTTGTCCAAGTCACTGTCGCTGTCATCTGGAGATACAGACAACCCGTTAACACGACACGGATCACAGGCCGCATAGCTGACCTTCGTTAAGCTTCAACACTCCACAAAATAAGCCGGTGCAAAAGTTCCCTTCCTGGCCACGAGGCTCACCAGTAATGTTGTCTTGTTCCTCGAGATCTTCGGAGTTGTTGCTGTGGCACGCGGGGTTTTGTGTAAAGCTGTCTCTAGCCTCCATCTCGGAAGTGTGCTGTGGGCCAGAGAACCCTGTCATGTGAAACGGCCCTATGGATGAAAGAGAATACAATGACTGGGCAAATGCCTGAGGGAGACCCAAAGTGAAAATGACCAAAATTTCATGAAGAATTGACCAACAGAAAAAAGAGTTTTTTCCTCATGAAAATCTGGAAATATGAGGTTTTGTTCCGACAGTGACGACATGTTTTGTCCAAACCTTCAAACTGAGCCATTAAAGTGAGTCACATCCCAAAATCTTGTATTACTGGCCCTGTTCAAACCTGGTATAAACACCCATCTCGAGAGACCTGATCACAAATGGATAGCCAGACATTTAGCTGTTTACATCTAACTTCCATACGTCTCAAATGCTTTTCCAGTTACTACTCTTGATTGGATTTCCTGACTGGAGGGAGGGTTCGGCACACATTTACACCAGTCTCTCACTGCATCGATCGTTTAGATCACATTGACTGTCAGTCTTAAGAGCCCCATTCGCACCTATACTAATCCAATACACATGTTAAAGAGTAACTCCACTCCTGGCACAATTTGAAAAATGCTCAAAAATTGGAGGGGCAGGCTGGGAGGGGCGCTGCAGTGATGTTTGGGTTTGGAGGTGGGGCTGCGAGGGAAACCAGGTGGGCTGGGCTGCTGTGTCTTTAGAGCTAGCGTACATTCACTGCCAGAAAATATGGAGAGAGACAGAATCGAACAGCTTTTTTCATAACTTTCACATTTCATAAGCTACATTCAGAAGGTGTCATTTGAGAGCTGTAACTGTCTTCTTTCCAGTCAAATAGATGGGTGATGTAATTTTAAACTCTTATAATAAAAGAAGCTGAACTCACATTTTTTTTTCTACTGAAAGTCGACCCATTTTTCCACAAATCTGGGCTATAAACTATAAACAGATGGCGTCTCTTCAGTGATCTGCTCTGTAAACATTATTTTATAAAATAATACAAAGAGCGTCTAAGATTGACAGCCAGCGTCTAATTATCTGTTCAGCAGGTCCATATTAGATATAGCCCGAGTCCTGATTCCTTAGATACCCTGAATTCCGAATGAATAAAGTGGATTTCTTTGAACTCTGTCTGTCTAAGTTTCATTCAGTTTGACATCAAGGTTGCAGACTGCATCACCGGTCAGTCAGGGTTTGCTGCAGTGGCCCTAAATCCTTACCTTCTGCAAGCTGTTCATGGCACTAATAGTGTTACATCCGATTCAGTTCCCTCTCAAATTCACGTTCTCCTTCATAACCCGAACCCTCAGTCGCCGCACTCACTGAACAGAAATCAACGGCAAGCAGCGCTGGAACTACGAATTTGTGAAGAAAAACGTGAATCCTCACTTAATCGGTCCTTCAGGTTAACCAGTCATATGCTGAACATTATCAATCTTTATTACAAGCTAAGCTCAGATTAACTGGGTTATGTACAGTTGGTACAGACAGCTGGCATATCGCAGCCTTGTGAGGTGGTGCTGGGGGGTATTTATCTCAGTGGGTGAGTGTGGTTATCTCCGCTCTCGGCTCCTGTGCTTTCATATTTGAGTGCGGCGCGAGTAGGGTGTCATCAGGGGGCGGAAACATTGGTTGACTGATTTGCATACTGTGACGTGTCTTGGTACCGAAGTATCCGCGCCTGTAGCGGAGTTGAACCAGAGGGGGCGCTGCAGAAGCGGAACTGACCATGATAAAAATGATAATATTACAGTTTGGAAGGATGTGTTTAGATTTTAAGCAAGACTGGTATATTTTATTACTACAGAGCAGTGCTTTTCAGCTGTTAATGGAAAAAAAAGGTCTTAGGGTGGAGTCACTCTTTAATACTAGGTGTGAATGGGGCAAAAATATTCTTAACTTTAATATACATTTATGTAGTGAGTTTTTATTCTGGACCATTTCTATTTTCCATTCATCAAGAAACACTGACACTGTGCAAAGGGCGGCTAGCAGTTTTAAAAAACGTAGGTTTTGATATGACGGCGACGATACGTTCCCTGTCGGTGAATCACGCCAGTAAATATATAGGTTAAAGTTAAACAACCAGGGCATCAAAGGCTAAATTATACTGAAACTTTGGTTTCATCTATCCTGAAGTTCATCACACCATTGCTGACCTAATCACAAAACAAAATCGGGATGCAGGCATAACTTCCTGACACTAACACTAACTGAGGCTTCTGCCACGCTGTACAAACTGCCTGCATCGTAGCTCTAGGCGCCGCATATATTAGGCTCAAAAATATTCCACACAGTGCTGCACTGAAACTGCAGAAACGAAGCGAGAAAATGTGTCAACACATGCACAGCATTAATCGCCCACCACAGTGCAGCAGCACGTAACAAATACGTGCATTAACACATATGCAGACATTTGCACACATGCGTTCGCCATTTTACAGTGACTGAATTCACACCTAACACTGCAGCCCTGGTGGAAACAGCCCAGCTCCTCAGCCTGCGAGTCAGAAAGCTTCCACTGCGAGAAATCAGCTCCTCCAGAAACACTCGTCCACCCACACAGACCTGCTTCTCCCTCTGTCCTCCGTACGAGTGCGCATCTCATTACTGCAGCGCTACCATTCAGCCTTCAAATGGCCCAGCTCCACTTTGAAGCCTAATTAGGCTCAATTACCATGACTTTCTCTTAATAAGGCTCTCAGAGGAAACCAACTGCTCTCACACGGGATGTATGTTACATCCTCTTTAAGTTTAGGAGATACAAACCAAAGCTTGGGAAACAGACTAGACTGTGTTTGCGGATCTTTCAGAATAACAACAATTTGGGTTTGAGTTCAGTTTATTGAATTCTATAGTTTTTATTAGGTATGACACAAAAACTTGATTAAACCTGATTACTTAAATAATCAATGACTATTTGGGTCATTTTACAGAAAGTCCATTTTTGTGTCCCTAGCGTTTACAGATATAGTACACTTAAAACATGTTAGGGTTACAATTTATTTATATTTCTTGAGCCGTCAATTTGAAGAAAAAACTTTTTTTTCTGCAATTTTAACTGCAGTAATCTATACGTGACTATGGAATATATAAATTAAATGACATAAAGAAAACAAATGCCAAATAAATATTCTAAAATATATAATGAGAGTTGTTGTCCCCAGGAGTCGTGTCACTGGTGTTACTGCATAACAAAAAAAATCTCTTATTTTGAAATAAAAATCACACTGATGACATCACTTGACTTCCTTTTACCTGTTTTCTGAGGATCTATGAAGAAAAGCTCATGGTGAGTCCACTGTGTCTTTCAGTTATCAGAGATTTTCTCATTCAGCTCATGATTTCATATGAAGCTTTTAGCTGAAGTCACTGGTGTGACCGACTTTATTCTGAGGTCATTGTGAAAAAATAGAATATAAATGGATTAAATTACATATTTTAGTGGATATTCCATGATTGGCAACATGTGGTTTGATGCTCTGTAGCAGCCGTTTTGTAAAATGCATTTGTCATTAAAAATGTCTGTGGTGTTACCTTTATTATGTGTGACACCAATGAGGATCAGTAACACCAGTGACTCCTATGGAGAGACAGAAAAGTGGAACATTTCTGTAGAATGACTCATTTACCTTCTTGATGTATCAGCAGGGACTGTCTAGCAGTTTGCATAATAATACTGCATATTTTAAACTCTAATGGTCCCTCTTACAGCAGAAAAGCAACGACATTGGAACACCAATAACCAATGTTTTTCATGTACATAGTACATGTAAACATATATTTATAAAACGTAGAGGGTCTAAATACAGCTAGATTAGCCTTAGAGAGAAATCCAACAACTATAGAGGAATAAAATGCAGACATTTTAGTACAGTAACCCTGTATCACCTTTTTTAAAAAAGGTTTTTTAAATGCTGATACTGATATGATCCCAATATTACTGTGTATCACTATATTGTAGTAAAAAAACAAAGATTGACAGACACAACAATATGCACTTTTTTCTATTTAAGCATTTTAGATTATTCCAATATTATAACAAACTAAGTTTGGTATGCATGGTTTGTTATTGTTCAGCTAAGTTCGTTTCAATGGTTTGGCCATTTAAAACTCTGATTAATCATCAAGATAATCAGCAGAGTGCTAATGTAATCAGCAGTGACAGCTCTAGTTTCCATCAGAATTACGCCTGTGACAATTATTACATAATCAACTGATCAACAACAGTTTGTCTGAACTGACCACAGTTATATTCCACAGTTGTTAAGTTTCACAGTGATATGTTTATATCGCAACAAATGATGTGAACTGGGCGCATTTTCATCTGTTGAGTTGAGATGAATGCATATAAATGAAAAAAAAGGGTCTCAGGAAAACATGACTGGTGCTATGTCACCTACAGAGGGCAGCGGTGAGTAAGAGTGTTTGTTTATTTGAGCTCGAGCTCTGTCTGTCCTCCGTTAGCTACTAAGCATCGATAGCTAATCAGCCAATTTGGCCACTTTAGGGTTGTACTTTAATATTTGCAGACAATTAACAAAAAATTTAGATTTAAAAAAATGATTGTGCTTATTTATACGGCAATTAATCGTCAGCTAAAATGTTATGATCGTGACAGGCCTAATCTCAATGATCAGAGGAAGCAGGTTCTGAAGATTTTTGGTCCCACTTTATATTGTGTCTCTAATAACTGCGTAGTTACACATGAATAACACATGCAACAACACTGTAACTACTGATGATTTAGTCAGTGTTACAGACGGATAACAGAAATATAGCCTATGTAATTAAACGTGTGTATCAACTTCAGTTTTGCCTCATGTAATTACACTACTGTATCTTTTCGATACACTACAGATCAGAAGTCTTTTCCAGCAGTTAAAGTATGATTTACACAACATTACATTTATGTTTTACATAATTACTGTGGAATAACTATGTTGTAAAAAGGTAACCTAATCACATCACATTGATTAATACCATTCTGTAATTATGCTGTACCTATAACAACCACACAGGAACTCTCCTGTAGTGTAGTGTTAAAGTTACACTTTAAAATAAGTGAGCAGTTCCTGTGTAGTTGTTATGTAGGTACTGTGTAATAATGTGGTAATACATACGTTGCTTTGGGGGAAATGCAACTCATTTAATTATTAAATTATTTAATTATTATGTTATTAAAGTTACATTTTAATATGATGGGACGTCTGCTGTTCTGTCACATTACAGAATGGTTTAAAGCCGAAACTGGTTACAGTGTCACAGCACTGGCAACATAAATGCTAGCGAAATGTTATGAAAGCTGGCAGATACAGTGTAAGTAATGTCTTAATGTAAGTTATTACATACTTCCTTTTACTGCTGGAAAAAGTCTGATTACAAATGTAATTACATTGTTATTACCATTGTGTAATTACATGAGAGAGAATAGGCTGTTAAAAGGATTAAGCTACATTTGTGTAATTACATGAGGCAAAACCGAAGTTGATACACATGTGTAATTACATAAGGTGTACTTCTGTAATCCATCTGTAACAGACTAAATGATTAGTAGTTACATTGTTGTTGCATATGTTGTTCACATGTAACTACACAGTTATTAAAGACACTTAATATAAAGTGGGAACAGATTTTTTTTTTTTAACTTTCCCTTCCTCCCCCAAACTTGTCTCACTCTATTCATGAAGTGTCTGAGCTCATCTAACGGGGCGTCACATTTGCATGGGGAGAGATGAGTTCTGAGAACAGTTCTACGAACTGCCACAACAGGCTGGCTCTCCGGCACCCAGCCAGTGATTGATGTGAGAGATGCCCATCCCCCAACTGCTAGGCTCTGTCTGTACATCTGTCTCTCTCTCTCTGTCTCTCTCTGTCTCTACACTCCCTCCCTCCTCCTTCTCTCCCTCCCTCTCTCTCTCTCACTCTGCCACTCTGATGTTATCTCTCAGTCTGTGTGACTGTAGGCAGGAGGTGACGCAGTGTCTGACTGAATCCAGACAAAGAGACAAACTCATCAGCCAACACACACACACACACACACACACACACACACACACACACAGGAGAAAGAGACGGCTAAGGCTGGCGGAGGGAGAGGGGAGACAAAACAAAACATAACAAAAGAGGAAAAGAATGCCAAAACTTATCTAAAGTGCCAAGGAATGGGGGTGCACTGAGATACAAGCCACTCACCTCCACTCCCCCTCACAACAACACAAAAAAAGGGGGAGGGGGGGTGGACAGACAGACAGGAAACATTGGGTGTCATGGTGTTGGCTGGGGCCCCATGTCTGTGGGTGAGCGCTCTACTTTCTCATGGTAGAGCAATAATGCAAGGCAGACATCGGATAATCCCAGTCATCCCATTCAGTTCTCACTTCGCCTAATTGATAAAGTGGTATTCCGGTCAAAATGGAAGAAGCAGCTCATACTTTCTCCCCCAAGAACACCAGGCTCTGTGGTTCGCTGCCGGTCTTCTTCCTTTTCTTCTAGAATGTGCAGAGGTAACTTCTTAGTAGCTCTCTACCTCCGAAACAGCCCACACAAGCTCAAACGTATGTAGACGGCACCGTAAGTGGATTACCAGTATAGGGGAAGTGAAGAGCACAAAACTCGGTATGACTTACAATCTGAAAATATGGTGATGTTCACTGGAATTGCTACTAACCCTGAGTTTTAAAAAAATCACTCCACTCTATTTGATTGAAAGGAAATCTGTAGCAAAACTGAATTAAGTTCAGACATCAATGTATGTTGGTCGTGATCAGCTTTTACTGGCACTATCTCCTCCCCAAATACCACAAACAAGACAGCCTAACCAATGATTTGCGAAATGTATGTCCAAACAAACCTAAACATTGTCCATTAGACCACCTGAACTCACAGGACCCGACCTGAGAAGGTAAGGTAGGACGATTTTAAAACCATCCTACAAACTATATTTAGAAAAGAGGCCTAAAGGCTATTTTATAACTGCTAGAGGTTACTGTTGGCCATAGACTTGAGTTCTCTAAGCCTCCTAACACCATGAAAGGACATAAAGGGAATACACTGTTAATATTGTCTTGCTCATGATACACAATTCAGGCAAATGAAGTTTCAACAAACAGGCTTTGACAGAAGTTTGTTAGGCGAATGTCAAGCTCAAAGGGTGGCAATGGCTCGTGACAGGTTATTAACAAGAAACAGGCCTGCATCTGACAACAGCCGAAAGGAACGGTGGAGGTAAATCGTGAATGATGTGTGGATGGCCATAAGCTGAGCGCATCAAAAAGAATCCCTCACACGCTCATTATAACATGGTAATTACTTAGCTGAGCTTGAAAACTATTAAAGAGTGCTTTCACTGAATAAGAAAGGCAAGTTTCTACTTACCTTTCTACTAAAAATCATACTTTCTCTAGTCTAGTGCTTTTACACTAATTCACAATGTCTGTAATGTCTGTAAAATGCCTATGTGTATGAAAAAAACCCAGTACTGTAACTAATGGTGGAGAAAGTGAACCACACATATAGATAAACGCAAGCATCTCAAATGTGAGAATTCAGTTACCCTGTCTGATTCACACCATCTACCCACATATAGGCAGTAAGCCTCATCACACTGTCCGGCATGTATTTTAAAATCATTTAAACCGTACTGGAAGGTTATAGCAAGCTCAGGGAACCTATAGTGCACTTCAGGACAGATGATGAGCAATTAATAAGGAGATAGTCATTCACCCTAATGGTGTCACTTCATACTTGGGACATCTTCAGTTAGATCCATTCAGTGTTCCCAAAAGCTAAAAAGGTATGTTCACAGCTTCATTTCATACAGCTTCAAACTCACTACTCATTTTATTTTATTTTATTATTGTATTCCATTATTTATCCTTACTTTCTATTTATGCATCTGTAAATACTGTAAGATAATACTTTGCTCTGTTCATTTTGCCCTTGTTTTGCTCTTTTCTGCGCTTTGTACTGCTACAATAGAAGGATTTCCCTGTGGGATTAATAAAGTGATCTATCTATCTATCTATCTATCTATCTATCTATCTATGTATCTCATATATTAAAAAAAAAAAAACACTAGTGACTCAAACTGAAGGCCGAAGAAATAAAACAGGTTACCATCTCAGACTCCGTCCAAGTAACGAGGCTGAAGTTCCTTCGAATTTTCCCGTTCCACCTTAAATGCTGCAGCAGTTGACTTCAGATACACGCCGGAGACGCCAGAAAGCAACTCAACTCCTGCACCACTTAAGGTGGAACGGGAAAATTAGAACTGGCGAATAAGAGCCGGACATCAGCTTCGTGTCCAAGTGGCTTCTACCCCAAGGCAAAAAGGCCAGCTAGCTTAGCTTTGGCACAACACTAACAACACTAACTACAACAGCAGCAGAACGAGCTGGGCGGCCCGGGGAGAACAACACTTCCAGCACTGAGAGAGGGTGTACAGCATCCTGCACGTACACAGCAGCGGCCGTCTACATAAAGCAATGCGGATATACAGACTGATAAGAACATTTCACAAACCCGAACGAGCCCAGCAGCCTGGCCAACCCGCAGACACGGCTATCTAGACCGAACCAGCGTTTCGCCGGGTTTGGTTACGCTCTGTTCCGTAGATCGATTGAAATAGCGTGTACAATACCTGCGATACCTACAATTCACTTTGAACGGGTTGGTTTGTTTGCGCCTTGACATATTATTCTTCCCCACTCCCAGATGGGAAAAAGTCGAATCCCCTCCTCGATCCGACAGGTTTGCTTATTTCTCGGCCGATTCAGCTGCGCAGAATTCAAACAACCCCTCTTTTTCGGACGAGCAACCCGCGTAGGACGGAGCGAGATCGGCGAGCCCGGCGATGTTCGCGGTCCAGCCGGGCAGAACTGAGTCGGAGCTCCGCTACATCGGCCAACGCAGTCCAGCCTGGTTTCATTCAAGAGGATGAAACAGGGTCGCTTCTCCGTGCAGAGCCGCGTTCTCGCCGTGACCGACTGACTCCCTCATTTCGAGACGGTGATGTCGGAGCCGGATCGCCTCGCAGAGAGAAAGCAGCCCGAGCGGCGGCGCTGGTGGAGGTGCTGCTCCCCGCGCTGTCTGCGCCGCAGGCTTTGCCGAAGCACTGCGCAGACCGTGCGCAGCCACGCAATAAGAGCTGCGAGCTTTCTGTAGGGAGAGCCGAAACGCATTGTGGGATGCGTACCATGGCAGTGGAGGGCAGTTTTAACCTCTTCGTCTCCTCGAGACCACCGGTGGCTCCAAAACGCGCTTCGTCATGTTCTTCATAACTTTCTTTCCAGTCAGATAGATGGTGATGTCATTTTAAACCCTTATAATAAAAGAAGCTGAACTCATTTTTTTTTGTTCTACTAAAAGTCGACCCATTTTTCCACAAATCTGGGCTATAAACTATAAACAGATGGCGTCTCTTCAGTGATCTGCACTGTAAACATTATTTTTATAAAATAATACAAAGAGCGTCTAAGATTTTTGGCTTACAGCAGTAAATTATAAGCATATAGTAATATGTGTGATCATAAAACACATGTTCTGTTAATTTGAAGGGACTATTGCTTTTATAAACAATAAATAAATAAATAAATAAATAAAATACATTTATATAAATAAAATGTACATTTATTTCATTGAATAAGTTACTGAATAATTTGCCTTACGATTTGGTCATAAATTCAGATGGACACACCAAAATATACCCTGGAGAATAGGAGGTAAATTTGTCTTGACTAACGTTTTACAGAAGAAAACCTCCAAATTAACTGACTTTACCTAAATAAAATTTCAACCGCATTGACTTAACTGCTGGTACTTAAAGGGGAATTCCACTCATTTTTTAAAATTCTTCTTAATTTTTAATTTTGTCTGTGATGATGATTGTGCCTATGATCACTCCTGCTGTCCTTGTCTCTTATGCATCTTTATTTTTGTTTTGGCTGTCTGTCGCTCCCTGTCCCCTTGTTGTTTATTATCTTGTGAAATGATAAACATTCTTGATCACAAAAAAATTGTTTATAATTAAATCATTAAGATGTAAACGACGCCATTCAGAGTGGTTTGATATAAAAAGACTCCGTTCTAGAGAAGAGTCAGAATTGTTCACAGTGGTGGTTATAAGAGTTTAATGCCTCTAAAAGCTTCCTCACAGCAATATATTACATGAAACGGTCATGTATACGCTGCCTGATGCCTGAGACATTGTTTTACAACAATTTTGAGATTAGGTTTGGTCCTGAAAGGGGTTATAAGGCAAAATAGTCCCCAAAAGAAAACATGTTTTTCCAGATGCAATTTTACCATTACAACCTTACATATAAAAACTCAGAAGACGTGTAGGTTCACTGGTGGTTTTGGATAGGAAATAAAGTGGCTATATTTGTGTTGCAGTAAACTTGGTTTACATCTTACCCATTTATTTATGCAGAAACTTTTTCAGAAAAAATTACTGGAATTCCCCTTTAAAGTAAACATTCTGCACAATTTGATTGTGAAGATATAAACAATGTCACTATGGTTTGATGTGTGATGGGGTATTGCAGAGAAACTCAGATTTTTGAAATGAAAAGGCATTTTGTGTGTTAGAATATGCTCGAACACAGTCAAACGAGAGTGTGCAGCGCGCATTTTCGAGAAAATTCAATAAAAATGCACCAACTGGAAAGCAGATTTGGACATGGCACAAAAAATTCAAAGAGGAAGGCTGTCTGTGCAGGGCGAAGGGATCTGGATGACCACCAGTATCGGAAGATATTGTCAATCAGGTTCAAGAAACATTTGCGCGAAGCCCCAGAAAGTCTGTAAGAAGAGCATCTCTGGAAACCCAGATTCCTCATACGACACTTTGGCGTGTCGTAAGGAAATGCTTGCAAATGACACCCAATAAGCTGCAGGCAGTGCGCATATTGAACATTTGTGAAGCTGTGAAATCGGTTATAAAATCTACAGCCCTCTGAATTTCTTGTTCAAATTTAGATAAATAAATCTTGTATTGTTCAACATGAGGCCTATTTAATTTTGTTTGCCCAGGACATGTAGTTACTCAGATATTCACATCTCAAATGATGTCAATTTTTGGGGCACCCTGTATATAATGCTGCTAATGGTAAATTAGTGGTAAATCTGGGGGAAAAAAACAAAAAAACAAAAAAAAACTTTTTCTTTGGGGGCTGTTTTGACTGAAACTGACAACACCCCATTGCCGCTATACCATAAATGTATTTTTAAAATATGTTTTAGGCCAAACTTTAACTCAAAAGTACAATAAAATGTCCGAGGCATCAGCAGTGTATTTATATCCATTTCATGTAATGCTGTTGTCTGTTGTAGCTTTTAGAGGCGTCAAACACTTCAAACGTCTGGTTCCTATCACTACCAATGTCAACAATGATGACTCTGTAAGTTTCTCTAGAACAGAGCAGTTCCCTTCAAACCACTCTGAATCACTTTATTTACATCTCAACCATTTAAACGAGAATTCCACTGATTTTTCATAATTTCTGCATAATTAAATCATTAACTCAGAGTGTTTTGGTTTGAAATGCTCCGTTCTAGTCAGAATTGTTCACAGTAGTGCTGATAGGAACCAGATGTCTATAAAGTTTTTATTAACACTAAAAGCTCCCTCACAGAGTTATTGCATGACATAGTTATAAATATGCTGCCTGATGTCTGAGAGGTTGTTTTACAGCAGCTTTGAGAAGGTAAAGGTCTTAAATTTGTTGTTTTTAATTATTTAAAGATACCTGCAAGGTGTTATAAGGCAAAATAGTGCCCAAAGAGAATTTTACCACTATTTTACTATTACCAACATAAAAAAGAAGACGTGTGTAGGTTCACCAAAGGTTTTGGGTGGTAAATAATACAGCTATATCTGCGTTCGAGACATTGTGACCCCTGGTTCCTATCACCACCACTGTAAAGAAAACTAAGTTGGTACGTTTCTCTACAATCCTTTTCACATTTCCCTCACATTTCACATTTACTTCATTTTACTGAATCAGTAGTCCTTGTACTTGTGTATGACTCTGGCTAATCTATTTCATATCTGTTCCATTGTTATTGCCAATATTAAGTGAACCAAAAAACAGGTATTGTGTTCATAAGGTACACATTTGAATTGTCGCAGGCGTTGCACCCTCAAGGGTACATCTTCAGTATCTTTAGTTAGGGATTATAATTGTACCACAATCCACTGCAGTTACATTTTTAAGTCATGCTGACACACATCCTGTCTTGTGTGCAGTTTTTTATTTTATAGTTCCGTTTTATAACATTAGGTCAAGAAAAGGTACAAATATGTCCCATGGAAAGGTGCACAGCTGGACCCTAAAACTATTATTGTACCTTTGAGGGCACATTTACATTGTTTGTATACTAATAAACAAAAAAAAATGTACATGCACAGAACCTTTATTTCTTAAAGTGTATGAATAATAACAGCATCCAAAATAAACATCAGATTTTTCTCATGAAATCTTCTAAACAAAAATTCAGCTTTAGTTACTAACTAATAGCTGCATGGGAAACACAGAGATTTAATTGTCTAAGCTTTCAGGAAATGCAAAACAAAACAGAAAGTTAAATATCAATGTTTGAGTGTAGAGTTACGTTGTTTTAAACAACTTCTCATATTGTATATTCATCTTGCTTTGTTACTAATAAAGTTCACGCCATTTAACCAGCTGATACTTCACATTGGAAGCAGAGTTACCGAATGAGTGCTGACTCAAAATTGGCAACTAGGCTACATTTGCTTCAGCAGTTGTTTTGGTGCTACACAGTGTGCGGAGTAAATAGCCTCAACTGTCCAAACTGGTTCACAAATAGAGGTGGAATCTAAAACATGATGTGATGATTATCACTACGCAATTATCTTGTACACATCAAGGTGCAATGTAATCAGAGGAAGGAAGGAATTTGAAGAACAGATCAACCTAAATAAGTCTATATTGCTTTGTGTAGAGAACATAAAATAACAAAAATGTTATCTGAATAATGCTCCAAACAGCATCAAGTAACATAGTCTTGCTGTATTGCTTGCATTACTGACTATTGACCACACATCTGGTCTCATGGAGTTCCACAACATTTAAAAAAAAGACCTTATCAAGACTAAGACCAACGGAAAATACAGTAAGTAAAGACATTTTCTAAAGCTTTTGCTTGCTGTGAGCTAAACCGATATTCTACACCCACACATGTTAACATTTTGTGCAAATGCATGTTGTTAGAGGAATGCTACTCCAGTTTTAATCACTAGAGGGCGTACAGTATCACTGTTTGTCTGACCTATTGATCCTTGGATATGATTTTTTCCCCCAGTTTTCTAACAGGCCAAACACATTCAGTTCAGTGATTAGTGGGGTGAACTCTGGCTGTACCTGAATTAAACGTATTGTAAATTGGTGCTTAAAAGCTAAATTATCCATTCAACTCCGACTGCAAAATGTGACCTTTCCCTCAGTTTGGTTACTCAATGGTTAATCACCAAAGCAGAGGTCACTGGCTTAATGGTTACTATTAGTGACCACTGGTGTCCTGTAGAACACCTTTAGATCCTATAAGAAAACCATCAAATGCATCTGGAATTAGTCACAGATCACCTGATAAACCATTAGGATCCTTTACATTGTGATATCAATCCATCAAGAAATGCCAAACCACCAGGGATCAACAGAAATGCTTAACGGTTTCTATGTTGTTTCTCAGCAGGGCACTTGGATTATTGTGTGACCACGTGAACATTCAACTCGTATATTCATCACTCCTCAGGGTGGGAGGGGGCCCTCTTATGGGAATGCAGCTAGTTGGATTCCCTTTACATTCAAGGTCACAGGTGGCAAATGACTGAATAGGAGCTGTTGCAGTTTTGAAGGGCAACTCCATCACCTTTTCAAAATTTCTACATATTCAAATAGTTAAGATGTAAACAAGGTCATTCGGAGTGGTTTGATGTGAAATGCTCTGTTCTGGAGAAATTTACTGAGTTAGAATTGGTCACAGTGGTTGTGATAGTATCCAAACATCTTAAGAGTTTACTGCCTCTAAAAGCTTCCTCACAGAACGTTATTACACAAAATGGTTATGAATACGCTGCCTGAGGCCTGAGACATCAAGTTTTGGCCTAAAACGTCTTATTAATCCATTCATGGTGGAGGGGCACATGCAGGGCGCTGTAAGGCGAAATAGTTCCCAAAGAAAATGTGTTTTTTTTTTTCAGATTGTTCACTATTTTATCAAAAACACTACATATAAAGAAGTCAGAAGACACATGTGGGTTCACTGGTGGTTTTAGATAGAAAATAAAATGGCTGTATTTGTGTTGTATACATTATGACCCCTGGTTCTTACCACCCCCACTGTAAAGAAATCTAAGCCTGTAGCTTTCTCTACAACAGGCCATTTTATATTAAACCACTCTCAACGACTTTGCTTACTTGTTAATGATGGATTTATGCAGAAATGTTGAAAATTGGTGGAATTCCCTTTGACCCAGTACAACACAGACCACTCAGGAACCCAATATTTGACTAAATGCTCAGAACAACCAACAGAATTCAGAATTTGCACACAGAGGAATTAGACCTCCGCATTTACCCCATCCATGCAGTGAAACACCCACATACATGCACACTAGTAAACACACACACTAAGGGGCAGTGAGCACACTTGCCCGGAGCGGTGGGCAGCCCTGACCATGGCGCCCAGGGAGCAATTGGGAGTTAGGGGCCTTGCTCAAGGGCACTTCAGTCAGGTACTGTCAGCTGAGGGGATCGAACCAGTGACCTTCTGGTTCCCTAACCTCCAGCCCACGATATACTGACATATACATATATATATATACACACACACACACGGGTATATATTAGAAGTATATATACTTCTAAAAACATTATCTAGTTTATGATGAAACGTGAAGGCTTGTGGTACTACCTGAGCTAAAACAAAAGCTTGCAGCGTGTGATAAATTTGTATATTATATAATAATGGTATTTTTTAATGATTTCAGCACGACTAATCTATTTCACAGCAAAGCTATGATTCCTTAAGCATTTCTGCCTGCAAAATAACACATTTCTACGTGATTTTGTCTCACTCGGGATCACTAGACGAAGAATATTTAAATAAAAATGTGGAAAAAAAGAAAACTTTGGACGCGCTGCTTCAAACGGGGGCCTGCTTAGTGACTCTCTAAAGAAGTGCCACAACAGTGCAGGATGACGTCATCAGCGACTGCCACGAGGTTAGGGCGCAGGCCGCAGCACCGCTCTCACGGCCGTGCGTTGGTCCTCCTCCGCCGGACTGACACGTAGCAGAAACGCTGTAAATGCAGCACCGCTGCGGTCGTTTCTCGCCGTTACCGCGCTACGCGAACGACGTGGCTATAATAAAGCGATGCGGGGATTAAAAACGCCTGCTGTTTCGAGCGGACAGAGCCTCAGTGAAGGGGATAAAACCCCAGAGTTGTGTGACGGACAGGTGGCTAGCTGAGCTGTAGCTTCCTGGCTCGTCACTTTAGTGCAGTCACGTCATTACAGACCTCTAGGTCTGACACATCAGACAGTCGTTTTTTTTTAAACTTTTAAGTTCAGATCATTGTAAAAATAAAGCAGAAACGCCTCAGTAGCGTCTCTGCGTGTTTAATTCCCTGCTGTCCTTTCCGCGCCGCGCCGTTTCCACCTTGAAGTTTGGGAGATTATTCACAGTAACCTTCCGCCTGCAGTAGAGGTGCTGAGGCTAGGGCCGCCGCCATTTTGAATGTCTGGTCTGTTCCTCCCTCCGTCGCCCACAGAGAAGATTCCAGTTGTTTTCTGGTGTCATTACGGCTGGTGAGTACAGCGTCTGTCGGAACTAGAGAGATAAGCAGCTCCTTTGACGGTTCGTGGGGTCGGGACTCGTCCGGCCGTGCTGTTTGAACGCTGTAAAGGCTGGGTAAGGAAAGGGGGGTCGGGAAGTGGAGCAAGCTGAAGGGGCTCAGCCAGCGTTACGAGCTCAGCCGCTGCTGGCGAAGAAGTGCACAACGGCGCTGCCATCCACTCTCCAGCGTTCTCGCTCGGTCGTAGCGACACCGTTAGCCAGGTTGCACACCGCTGCAGGCACTGGCTCGCTAGCTGGCTAACGTTAGCCGCCGATAGGACATCAGGCGTGTCCACACTGACCAACCTTCACCGCGCTCAGCCACAGAAAACCGTACGTTTAGTCAACTCCGTCGGTTTTAACGCAGGTCTGCCGTTCGATAGACATCCCCACACATTTCCCCACAGTAATGCGGGTATTTTCATCCTGGTAAGATCGCTAGCTTAGCTAACGTAGCGTAGTAAAGTTGACGTTAATCCTCAGCCAAACCAACGCTCGTCGGAGGCCTGGCTAACGTTAGCTAGGTTAGCTAGCGCCGCTGTCTAGTAGGAGAAAGCGCAGCTAATCGATTCATTACTTGACCAGGGCTTGAAAAAAGGCACACGAGTTCATTTTTTAAAAAAGACTTGGCTTGTTAAAGTAGCTAATCAAACACCATGTATTTTGAGCTGATGGAGTAAAACCATCTGTAGTCTGTGCTGCGGCCTTACCTAGGTTTGTAAGGTTAGCCCAAGCTGCTGAAATGCGAATTTGCTTTAGTGTAGGTGAAATTAATTGTACAAAGAATACATTTTAATCATAGGATGACAAAAGCACGATTCTGGCTGCGATTTCCAAAGCCGGATTGCAGACATGCTCACAATCGTCACGTTACTGACCGTGTCCGTCTGTAAGGTTAACGTTACAAGTGAACAGGTTTCAAAAGGAAGTGAAAGGCGAGTATTTGTAACCGCATGTAGTGCTAAATGAACGGAGATGGGTCTTTTATATACGAGGAGGATCAACCCCGTTTTAAAACAATCTGTAGTTTACACTTGTGGACAATTCCTGGTTTTCCTAGTGACGTTTTTAGGTGGTATGGTAGAAGTAGGTAACCTATGAATGGAGGAAGTTGTTACCCGCACGGATGAATGTGTGCCTGCATGTCGAGCCCTGTGTGGTAAAGTCAACCTTCGATGCTGTGTTTGATTACAGAGTATAGCAAATTTGCATGTCCTGCAGAGGAATAAAAGCCAGCGTTTTTATTTCTTTTACCCTGTGCATCTGGCAGTGAATAGATGAGGGTTGTTGCTGTGTATGAAACTCAGATTATTGTGATGAGACGTGCATCCTAGGAAGGGAGCAAGCGTGTAATGTAATGAAGCTTTTCAGGATGCAGGGAGAAAAGTGTGTTTAGTTTTTGTGTAGCTTGAGTTTTTGTCGGTTGTGTGTGACGAGCGTAGACTGTCTCCCATTAAATCTTGGTTTTGTGATGGTGTCCCCACTTGGCCTACATCAGAGCTGAATGGGACAGTACTGAATGTGTCACTTGGTCGGTTCCCTTGGGGGTTTCGTTTGTTTTTGTTCCTCTTCTGGTTGCCAGGCTCATCCTCCATCTGACCGACCCCTAATTCTCCAGAGGCAAAGGTAGACTGCTTAGGTGAATGATTAAAAAAAAAAAATCCATCTGAGAGCAAAGATGTGCTGCCACTCTATCAGTTAATCTCCCAAGTAAAAATCGAGAAAGCAGGATCTTGTTATTGAGCTACTTGTATGATATATCTGTGTTTATTAAGGTCATGTGCTAAATAGGGGGGGGTAAATTAGCTATAACATCATTATGGTCAGGTTTAAGCGTGTAGGCTTACAGCTTGGCGCAGCTCTCTTTCCATGGACACTTCGACCAAATGACCCAAAGCCTGCAGAAAGAAATGATGGGGGGCCATAAACTTAGTGGAACAGTACTCGTTTTGTCCCGCTGACCTTGGTGCGATTGGCCCTTGAGCTGTTGCTTTCCTGCTGCTGTTGAGCGTAAACCTTCTGCAACTTCCACTGCATGTTTTTTCTGGTGTAATTCAAATTAAATTTAGTGGTTGAAAACATGATTGAAGGAGTGTTTTAAAACAGAACAACAGATTTGAAAGCTTTTTCCAAAGTACTTTCACCCCAACATCGTTTCATAAACACCTGTTTTGCAAGGAAAAATTCATTCTAGCAATATAGTTTGAATGTTTAAAGGAGGGGTGGCCAAATTTTAAATTTTGTTTCATATATTCTTAAATAATTTATTTGAAGAGCAGCATGTAAAAATGTGTCTTTCATTGAGTGAGGAACTGGGATCTCTAACATCCTCATGGGCCAGTATTGGCCCTGGGTCCATGCTTTGGGCAGTCGTGGTTTAGATAATGCAGGTTTAATGATTAATATTAATGATTAATATACACTTCTGTTTGTTTTTGCAGTCTGTTGGTGGGTGTGTGTGTGTTTGAGTCATGTTTTAAGCTTATTTGGGCCCAATAATGAGTCACATATTTGTGGTATGTTGTCTGATCAAGAAGTTTCTACCTTTGCCTTCAGGTGATGTACAGATATTCGTCTGAACGCAGGCCGCTGTGGTGGACGAGGGGGAAACAATTCATCTCAGAGTTTTCAGGAATGTAGAGGGTCATGACCTCTCATTCTGCTTTGATCACTGAATTCTTACTTTATCAGTGCAGCCAAGCCTTATTGAAGGCTTCCCTTTCTCATTTCCACTGCGCATAAACGAACCTGATATTTCCTTTTAAAATGTTGTTTGCGAACTCTCAACTCTGTATTGAACAGGAAGTTTTTCCTGTTGACTTTTGTGTGTGTTGTTTTTCAAAGACTCTTCCAAGGTGTTACTCGCCCTCGTGGCTGCTTTACAAGACGACTGTTGGAATGGGGAAAAGCTGAATAGCAGCCTGTCAGCAAAGTCGGCAGTGTGGAACTTTGACCTGCTTGTGTGCTTCATTTGCATGTCCATCCTTCGTTTCTGTTTTTCGTCAGTGACCGATAAAAATGCATGCAGCAAAAAAAAGGTTTACAGTTGTTGCAGTGTGAACAGGATAGGGTGTCTACTAGGCAGCAGTGCAGGGTTTTTGAATGAGCGGCGGACAATCCCTGATTAATTGTCCTGTCAGTGGTGTGGGAGGTTTTGCATCATGGGCACACAGTTTGGTGAGGAAAAGAAACTTGTATATACACAGATCAGGCGTAACATTATGACCACCTCCTTGTTTCTGCGCTCATTGTCCATTTTATCAGCTCCACTTACTATATAGGTGCACTTTGTAGTTCTACAGTTACAGACTGTAGTCCATCTGTTTCTCTGATACTTTGTTAGCCCCTTTTTACCCTGTTCTTCAGTGGTCAGGACCCCCATGGACCCTCACAGAGCAGGTACTATTTGGGTGGTGGATCATTCTCAGCACTTCAGTAACACTGACGTGGTGGTGGTGTGTTGGTGTGTGTTGTGCTGGTGCAAGTGGATCAGACACAGCAGTGCTGCTGGAGTTTTTAAACACTGTGTCCACTCACTGTCCACTCTATTAGACACTCCTACCTTGTCAGTCCATCTTGCAGATGTAAAGTCAGAGACGATAGCTCATCTGCTGCTGCGCAGTTTGTGTTGGTCATCCTCTAGTCCTACATTAGGAGTCACAGGACGCTGACCACAGGACGCTGCTGGCTGGATATTTTTGGTTGGTGGACTATTCTCAGTCCAGCAGTGACACTGACGTGTTTAAAAACTCCAGCAGCACTGCTGTGTCTGATCCACTCAGACCAGCGCAACACACACCAACACACCACCACCACGTCAGTGTTACTGCCGTGCTGAGAATGATCCACCACCCAAACAGTACCTGCTCTGTGAGGGTCCATGGGGGTCCTGACCACTGAAGAACAGGGTAAAAAGGGGCTAACAAAGTATCAGAGAAACAGATGGACTACAGTCTGTAACTGTAGAACTACAAAGTGCACCTATGTAGTAAGTGGAGCTGATAAAATGGACAGTGAGCGTAGAAACAAGGAGTGGTCATAATGTTATGCCTGACCGGTGTATTCCCTTTCTTTGTTTTTGTGCTAATAATCACTTTTCCAACATGAGGCTGTGGTTTGTTTAAAAGGAAACTTTTAGACTGATCTTTGTTATCTTTACATTCAAGCCTATTTTCGTCTAATGGGTAATTTTAGTTGTGCTGGTAAAGAGGGCTGTATATTTGTTTTTCTTTACACTGTCCATTTAGCGAGACCTTTTCCTTGCAGCATCATCAACTGTTTTGCTGAGAGGGAGCGAGATGCTGAAAATGTCTTTGTTCAGCAAGTAATCACTGTACTTTCTCTCTTGCTGTAGCAGCTTAATTATGTGCTGCATGCTAACAGATAAAAGAGCGGTGTTTATCTGTGACGGCAAGCCATGAAGCCTGTCTCCTCTCCTCACTGAGGTAGACAGGGGGAATAAACTTTCTGGGCTTGTTTTTGCCATCGAATCTCCTGGTGTGACAGTAGTGATTAATGTACGTTTTCTCACCTGGCCTTTTGGTGTGATAAACAAAGGTCTCTTAAGCGTCTTGAAGCTCTCAAGGCTCCAGTGCTTGGACTTGGTTCTACATATTTTTGTCCCGTGTCTTCGTGTCCTCCGTCTGCTCATGTCGTACCTTCCATTAATGGACACACGTATTATAGGGGTCACTTAGGCTACGTTCACACAGCAGGTAAAAGTGGCCCAAATCCGATTTTTTTGTTTGGCTGTTCACATTATCTTTTAAATGTGATCTGTATGCGACATCAATCTGAACAGATCAGCTCCTAAACCGACCCGCATGCATAAAGAACAGTCTTCACGTGGCTCGTCCAGAGGTTAACAGTCGTGACGGTCAGCGAACGCCGGTCGCTCCTGGAGGGTTCAGTTTCGTGTTCGCCAGCATCACAGGAGCCATCGTGAAGCTTCACTGACTGACAGCTGGGCTCA